GTAGTAAGTGTGTATGTATGTACATATTTTTATGGTACGCTTTGAAAACTGTGCGTATGCATGTTTGTGTGTGTGTATGGTTGGCTGACTGAGTGTTGGTGTAACGTCGACATCGTCATGCGCTCGCCCTCGTGCGTTCTCTTTCATTCACATGCTTTGGCATGCATTTGCGTTGTCGTTGTTGTTGCTGCGTTGGCTGCTTGATTTTGTTGCTCCCTTTTGATTTTCTGCTGGAAATCATCGACACATTTGCCAGTCAGCAGCCCGCATTAGAGCTGGAAACAATCGTTGTTGAAGCAATATAGCGATGTTTTCTGTAAAAGGTATACAAATAATCTAAACGCTCGGATAGCACTTCGAATTGTATTTATGACTAAAAACAAATTATTTGCTTTCATTATATTAACAGACTTTACTTCGAAACAAATCGATAAATCTTAAAACTTTAATACACTGGAGTTTGCTTTATCTACTTGTAAAAGGAATTAAACTAATAAGGCGGAAGTTGGGATTTAAGCAAAATCTACGAATTAAATTTCTCTATTACGAAAAATGTGACACTATTTTGCGAAGCTTGGTTGCTCACAATGAAGAATCTCTATGTCTATGACTTAATATTTTTCAAATCAATATTAGCTGCAAGCATCCCAATCATTTTGCTTTTCTTGGCACACAAAGCTAAATTAAGTCGAGAAAAAATAAAAATAAATCGATAATATCGATAGTGTAATCGATTGTTTTCCAGCTGTAGCCCACATACAACGACCAGGGAATTAAAGCGAAGCACATGTGATGTGTACATAAATATGTACATACATACATATATGTATGCACATAATTTATAGAATTTATTTGGTGTGATCTATGTATTTGTGGCAATTTTTGTATTTTTGGGTAGTAGCCGAGGGTTTTCACTATTTATTGCTAAATTAAATAGTTTTATTATGTACGAACCCTCCCTTTCCGACCCTTGAATTTCCTCTGCCTGATACATACGTATGTATGTATACATACATATGTATGTATATATTGCTGTGTTTGTACATTTATGTACATATTGTATGTACCAGTGTGTGTGTCTATAACTATTCTTATATATACAAGCAAATGTGGTGCCGTCTTGCGTCTGATTGAATAAATAATAGCGTTCAAATATATAACAAAATATATACATATGTTTATATGTATGTGTGTATATATTTATATACTGTTACTAAGGCATTATTGTACGAATGTGCGTGTATGTGTTTGCAGCATTTTGTGCTCGATGATCCAACTGCTACAAAAACACAACAGTGCGCTTTGCAACAAGTTTTTGCATTCAGTACATTTCTTCTTACATAGTTAAGTTGTAAATATTGTTTGCTGTGGTTTTCTCTTTTGATTATTTTGTGGTCAAGTTGTGTGTTTAAGTGTATGTGTGACCTTGTATTGGGCACTTTTGGAAAGTATTCTTCAACAACTGGCTAGCGTAGACCCCAAAGCTAGTATTTACATACATAGGTATGTATATAAAAAGTGTTGTACAATTACCTACGTATGTATGTGTATATGTACTTATACTGTTGTCAAGTGTGTAGACCTTCACAGGTAACCGCAATAACAACAGCAACTCGAGCTATAGCTAAAGCACACTTTTAAGTGTAAAGGTATAAGTTCTTAGGACCTAAAGCGTTTTGTATTAAATACTTCCATTTAATCTATTATTCGAATCGTAATATTGTGCGAGGTGGTTTCTACTGTAAGTTTAAGGTCTCGATTTAATTTATTAATTTACGTAAAGTTATCGTTCCTCTGCCCTCAAGAAGTTATTAAACATTTTTCCAAATTGCTTGCAACTACGTCGCATTAAAATGTCAAGCAACATTTTGTGGTGGATGGATGGAGTGATAAGGTGGATGGAGGCGGAGTTTTATATGCGTGTTACGTTTTCGACACAAATTTTCTATGCAATTTACAGTTAAGTTACCATGCGGACACAGTGAGTGCCCTTTGTTGTCGTCATCATTGTTGTTGTTGGGCTGCGGTGTGCCTGCTTGTCGAAAAGAAAGCGCTGCGCACAAAGCCAACAAAATACAGAAGAGCTCACATACCCTACTACTCTCCACGACTTCTTGCCTACTCTCTCACACATTTGTTCGCTCAGCTGTGCGTAGGCTACAAAAGTTTCGTAATAGAAAAATAGAGAGGAAAAAACGAGTGGAATAATAAAGACGGGGTGAGCCAGACTCCTGGATACCCTGTGTACTCAACTTTTCCGTCATAGTCCTTAAATTAAAACAGTTGTAGAATGTGTGATTTTGCACCGACCGGTATATAGGATATACATATCCTATAAAATGAGTTTATAAATTTTTTCTAACAAACTTGTAGTACATATAAAACAAGTTTTCATACCAAGATTTGTGGCCGAACGTGCCTATATCGATTCGTCTCGTCATTCTGTAGCTGCATTTACATATGTACATATGTATGTATTTATGTACTAGTATGTACTTTACAACATGGGACCTGCCGTTATCTGTTTGTTACATATGTATGTACATAAATTTGGCGTTAAAACTTTCTCGTATACCCTTTCACCTTTTTGGGTACAGGGTATAGAAAACTTCACAGAGAAAATGCGCCGTTACCTCTCGCCATGGCATTTTATAGATCGTGATGTTGTTGCTGCTCGACTGAATTTACAACAGTATTCAAATAAGTTACAACGCAACAACTTTACGAGTGATGAAACATAACACAATTTGCGGCAAAAACAGTAATGTTGTGGTGGGTTTGTGGGTGGAGTAGGTAGAGAGAATGAGGGCAGATCAGCTACCAACGAGTTATAAATTACAGGTTCGCCTATTTTTAGGGTTGTCAAATCAGCCACCGTTGCAGACAAAGGGTATGTTTGTATAGTATATACATACATACATACATATGTATTTACATTATGTATACAATATGTTTCTAAAAATGAAGGCCCTTACAATTACAATTACGATGTTACCAGCGTGAAAGCATAAACACGCACAGGCGCCATATGTTATTGGCGTTGTTAAGTAGTAGTATAGTTGCCACACATAAATACATATGTATGTAAGTAGGTACATTTATTTGTGACCTCGTGTCCGAGCTTTTTGGTGTGAAAAACTTGTGTTGGAAAAACATTTTCATTTAGCAGTTTTTTGCTACCACAAAATCAGCGACATGTGGTCTCATTAAGTCGGCCTTGAACTCAATTTGTTAGTAGAATGTTTCATTTGTGATACAAATTTTGTATTCAACTATTTTTTATAAGTGTAGATAGTCAGGGAAACGTCAACTTTGCTTGTGCCCAAAAGGGCACAACGTCTGCCTTTTGCGTTCAGTGCTTTGGTTTTTCATTTCATCTTTTGTTCATTTGTGCTTTTTTGATATTCGTATCTTGTCGTTTTTACTTTTGAATACACACATATACACATGCATACGTACGTATCGCCTCCGTGCTTGTTCTCAACAAATACAGCGAGGCTATGAAACGAAACAAGCATGACAAGTTCTCTACACATGCACATAATCACACACACACATACTTACGAATATAGATGGAACAACTCGTTTCTTGCTCGCTCATACATACATACATTTGTTGTCGGAACAGGAGGTGGGGGTAGCAGTCGCTGTCAGATTACGAAAAGCAAAATATAAACAAAACGGCAGAAAACAGCTGATTATCAGCGTCGCCGCAGCCACCACGGCTCATGCGCGCTCTGTAAACTAGCTGCTATATTTGAGTCATATTTGTAAATAGTTTCACTCAAAACAAAGCCGTTCTCTTTTCGGTTTCGCTCTCGCTCACACGCACGCACATGTGCATGCACGTGTCAGTGGCGAACACGAACAGCTGTTAACTTATTTACAATTTTTTGTGCTGTCTGGTCGCATATGTTAAACGTGTGTGTGTGTGTGTGTGTGTTTGTTTTCTCGCTCAAAACAGCTGCATTAGTAGTGGTGGTTGGTTCCTCTTCTGGTGGTGTATTCTTTTATGTTTTGTGCCTTCGGCTTATCATATTTATGTATTTCTGCTGTCGTTTTTTCCGCATCGCTGCCTGCCATCTTGTATGCGTACGTGTATGTATGTGATGTTCTGTTTGTATGTGTACCTGTATCATTGAAAGGGGCAGAAAATCTGCGCCGTGCATTTCCTTTTCAGCTCCCTACCCTCATCAGCAATTGTATCTAGCTGTTAAATTCGTTTTGGTCGAGAAGAAAAAGTCACAGTCAGCCATCACCCAGTGGTTCGCCGTTTTTGACGTTTAATCTTTAGAACCCTTCCAGAAATTTCTGCCTTTACTATTATGAGTAAAAAAAGTTTTACAAAATTTAATGGATACGCATATATACATACATATGTACATACATACAATTTTCAGGCGAAATTAACTAAATTTAGCTAAAAAGACAAAAATAGTTTCCCATTTGAGTTAATGGGTATCAAGTTTGTTTTATTTAATTTCTTTTATTTCGATTGGAATGATCCATTTTAAATTTATACAAAATCTGAAAGGTCACAAACTCTGTAGTAATTTTTTTCTGTACATATGTATGTATGTACATATGCATACATTTCTGCTTATCGCTTGCCGTTGATCTTTTGTTTAGGTCAGTCACTTTCTGTCATTATAATTTGGGTATTCTCAGTAAAATATGGCTTTTGAATCTTCTTCCTAGCGTTTAATTTTTTGTTGTCTGGTACAGCAAATTAACGTGACCTCATTTACTTGCGAAATGAGAAAATAAAAATGAGGGACGATAAGGAGATCTATAGTCGCAATTTAACAAAGTGCAGCCCATTTGATATTGAAATTGGCAGCACTTGTCACCTGCAATCGAATCGAATGAGTATTCGATACCATAGACACAAAAGTTGTCAAATTTTGTCGTATGTTTTTGTACTTTTATTTTTTATTCGTACTTACGTGTTATGCATATTTGGTTTTCTCTAATCTTAGTGTCGTTTTTTATAATTGCAGCACAAATATCCAGCAATAAGAAGTGCGCGCACGCAAAAGAACTCGCCGCAAAGAATAAGGAAAAAGCCAAAATAGTGAACTGAAAAAAGTGCAAGTGTAATAATCAATCAACAATAATTAAATGAAACAATTTATGCAAAAAGGCAAAGAAAAAAACGATTACAATTAAGATAAGCACCTTATAATCTAGCCCATATTAAATTATACATATATAAGCTCTTTATAAACAGTAGAAATTTTAAAACTACGTCGCGTTTACAAACTGCAACTAAAATTGACAATAACGTTGTTGTTGGCATGTTAAGTGTGATCGATGCCGGTGCGGTTAAGTGTCGTCTATGGCCGAATCCGTTAAAAGTCAATCGCTCTCTGCATTGACGGAGGGGCAGCGCGACGGTAGTATAATAACAACAACAACCCATATATCACAGCCACAACAGCAATTACGCAATCGCAACAACAATAATAACAAGACCAACAAAAACAACAGCCATAAGAAGAAACGTGTAACATCAACCAAATCTACAACAACAACAGCCAAATCTACAACAACAACCAAATCCAAAATAGTAACTGCTGTTGGCTCCTCCGTCATCGTCACAGATTCAGCGTCAAAGACAACATCATACAAATCTACAACAACAACCAAACCCACAATAGTAACTGCTCCTGTTAGCCCCGTCATCGTCGCAGATTCAGCGTCAAAGACAACAACAACAACAACAACAACAACGAATCGATCGCGTAGTCAAGGACGCAATTTTTCTGCTTCTTCCAAGGATACAGCATCAGCCACACAAATACTGACACGCACCTCAAAGTGCCGTATAACAACATCACGTTCTCCCGTCCCGTCGCCGGCTACACCAAACTCTACTGATTCGTCTACATCCTCAGCTGGTGCTCGAAAACGTCAGCATCACAGGAATACAACTAACAACAACAATAATAATAATCGTAGCAATACACAATGTAAGTATTACTACTCAATATAACCTTGCAAATTGGCGGTCCTGTTTTGTAAAGATCAGATCCATATCAGTATCATAACAGAAATCGTACTCTTTCGAAATAACTTAGAAGTTACTAAGACTTAATATAGTGGTTGAGTTAGTTAGCTTCAGAGATAAAGTTATTGTTGTTATTCAATAAGGTCGTCCGATAGTTACTTCATGATCGTATCCGCTTTTAGAAGCAAATTTCTGTATCATATTAGAGAGTGGGAGATTAGGTTGGAAGCTAAAAACATTTTTCAACGCAATTACTCGAAACTGTAAAAAGATACACATTGGATTCAATAATATGAATCAGATTATCAATACTAATTTGAAAAATTTAATTTAAACTATTTATGCGATACTTAATAGAAAGATTTTGCGATGGTACATGAGCAGCTCAATTTTCTAAAACAGTTTCAAAAAATTGTTTAATATAGCAATAGTCTTTCTTCAAGAATAAAAAATTTTTAATGCCATGTTAAAAGTTTATTTAAAAAATATAAAATAATAATAATTTTGGATTCGTAGAATTGATTTGGAGAAAACTTTTAAGTCAATCGCTATCATTGTCAACATTGAAAAAAGTTGCAAAGTGTATGAGAATTACAAAAATAAATATCAAAAATTTTTGGTTTTCGGATTTTTCCTCTGGCCAACCCACAGTTTCCAATTACGTTTTATACTGTTCTCCGTTTGTCTAAATTTTTAGCTGTAACGATATAAGACAATTTTTCTGTGTTGTTTTGATCGCCGGTAGTTGTTTATGTAATCAAAATACCAAGTCTAAACGCATTTCCTGTTTCCTTTTGGTCATGTCCTTTTCAGCTGCGCCCGGTGGTGATCAGCTTGCGGAGCATAACTCGCCGCTAAAGAAACGCCGCCTGCAGCAGACATTGGGAGGAGGAGCAGCCGCTGCAGTAGCTGTTGGTAACGAGGCAGAAACTGTAGCTGTGCAACAGGCCACAGCTGAGATTGCTACCGATTGCTCTTTTGTGGCACACACACCCACCAACACATCAGCGGCCTCGTCGGGTGGCGATTGTGTAGCTCAACGCACACGCTCAAAAACCGTCTCGCCGGAGGAGCTGCCAAGCACAAGCAGTGCAGCAGCCGCTGCAAATAGAAAGCGTCAGCAACAACAAACAGTTAATTACTGTAATAGTCAAAGTAAGCGCAAGACCTGCAACAACATCGGTATTGTAGCATCGGCAACAGCGTCGACCACACCACAACGCGGCGGCGTTGCAGCTGGACCAGTGAGCGGTGCCCGTGGACGCAGCAGTAATCTGTTAAACTATTATCGGAAGACGCGCAAGGTCAGTCACACGCGTTCCGCCTCCTCCTCCTCCAAGCGGACGGTACAGGACGAGCTACCACTGCAGCAACAATCCCCGCGCAAGGGCAAAGGCGGCAGCGGAGCAGCAGCAGCTTCATCTGATAAGCGGACATCAGCACAGTCTAGGCAAAGCAACAACAACGTTGCCGCCTTATCGGTCGTAGGCGCCAAAGCCAATCTCAACGTCAAGAGCAGCGTCAGCAGCGAGAGTAGCTCGCGTTTGCAGGCAACCACCTCAGCGGTTATTGCAGTCGCTGCGGCCATAGACGCCGCTGCAGCCGCCACCGCCTGTGGCTCCATAGCCTCGACGGTCGAATCGGCCCCCAAAAGCTTTGATAAATATAATACCAGCAAGTATACAAAATATCGCAAGAGTCTGCGCAATTTTCAACAGCAGCATATCTTGGCCAGCTCGAGCGCCAACAGCGTCAATAATACCAATATCGTAGCCGTTAGTGAAACTGACGACGACGACGAGTATAGCGAATTAGAGGTTGAGCAGACGGCCCAACAACAGGGCCAAATTTTAGTGGCTGTCTCGACGAACGGCCAAGAGGCGGACACGGAAAGTGGTGATATCGTCGCAACCGCATTTGACGTTGCCACCTCGGAAGCAGCCACGTCGGAGGGAGAGGGCGAGGACGAAGAAGTTGGTTTTTACGAAATTGTTAACTCATCGTCCTACGAAGAGGACGCACAAATCGTTGCCGAAGAGGACGAATTGAGTGAGGACGAGGACGTGGACGAAGAGGAAGACGACGACGAACTCGAAGAGGACGAGGATATCGAAGAGGAGGACCTCTCAGACGGCGAATTTGCTGAGCAGTTGATTGGCGAACTTGGTGGTAAGTGTGGAAAGCTCTTTATTTTCACTTTTAGTTCCATATATATTTTCTTTCTTGTCTTGTCTTGTTCCTTCATGTATTATTTAAGCATCGTATCTTGTATATATGTAAATATTGTATGTATATTTTGTTTCGTTAATTATTCTTTTGGATTGTTTCCCTATAAGTTTCGGCTAAACGTTCCTTGTATAATGAAGCGAATCAGTTGTAAAATATTTACTGTAAATTAAATGGGCAACAAGTCGTAGCATAAGACAGATTTAGGACTTACACAACTCCCAATATCTATGGTACAAAGGGAAACCAGGAGGAGAAACTATATTGCTCAGTATATCAATAATTTAGTGTTTGTATGTGTGAGGGTGGGTGGGGTTTTAAGAAATAAATTAAATTTTAATTTTCAGAATTTGTTAATAACCCCATTATTTAGTGACTTATATAGCCAAATGTTATAGAATCCAATTGACCACAAAACGGACTTGTTATTGGATGAACAGTGTTCGGAATTTCTATTTTTTTAGTGACTCATATTCGAGAAATCTAAATAAAAATTCGTAGAACCAATTTTAATAAAAATAGAATAGAGTTGTAATGGAACTACCATCTAAAATGTACAGAAAATAGTTGCTCGCCTGTCTTCGCTTTGTACCATGCCACTTATCAATTTTATCAATTGGCTGGCATTATATAACCTAAATTAGTTATTAGTTAGCATAGTTATTACTTGACGTGTTCCTCGTCGCACCTTGCCCCCACTTTCCTTCTGTCCTATCTTCCTTGCTATGTTTATTTGTATTTCCTGCATATGTTTTGCCTTGTCTTATCTTTTCACCACCCCTTCATAACACACTATATTTTTACATTTCCTGGCTATTGAATTAACTTTCAAACAATTAACATTCGATTTAATTTCATGGTAATGTAAACAAACAAAAAATGTGCGCAGTATTTCGAAGAGTATTGCCTTATTTTACCAGTGTTGCCACACTGCATTTATTTTTTGCGAGATGACTTGTACTTTTTATTTGGAACAGTCTGTGCTCGCTTTCTCATTTTATTTAATTCTATGTATGTATGTGTGTTTAATTGTCACTCTTATCAACAAAATGCGGCATTTCTTGTCGTTGGTCGCTCACTAAATGCATGTACATTATATTTTTATTTTTTTGTTGATAAAAGACAAATGTAATTTCCAGTCAACGAGTCTCTCTAGTCAGTCTCGTTGCAAACGTCGCACTGCTTTAACAAAGCGTCGTCGAATTGAAAAGAAAAAAAAATCGGAGAAATATTATAATAATTAATGTCGCATTAAAATTGCCACGATTCTTGTGTTACCATTCCGATTTTGAATACTATATTTATCGTAATTCGAATTAGTGCTGCTATTGAACATTTTCTTGAGCGTACAGATTAGGTGGCACTTTAAATGCATGTGCATTATCCTATTTGGCGTAAATGTTTTAACTACAAATGGATAGCAGCAAATGCAAGTATTTTTGTTCAATTTTAAGGCTGTGCTGTCACCGACAATTAAATATAGTATACTAATACATACATATGTATACTATAAAACAAGAAAAAAAAGGGCATAGCAATAAATAAAGGTAACTTCGGCACGCCGAAGCCTTACTCTACACTCTTGTAAAATTGATTTGCAACATTGTCAGCTGATTATCTCGAATTTCCGACATTCGTTTTGACATTGAAGCTTCATCATTTTGATTTTACCTACAAATGGGAGTTTTTTATAATTTAAAATGATAGTATGTACATGAATACTATATTTCAGTGAAGAAAGAAAATTGTTTGCATGTTCGAATATCTTAGACGTACACGTTTGCTGAAAATTCATAAATTTCCATAGATTTCTGATTGGAATATTCGATGAGCAATGTCTTTATAATCTTCTGACTGAAGTCATATTGTTCTCAACAAGAATAGTATAATTATGATAATAATAATAACTCCCAAACAGAGATCGCGAACCAGCTATAACTAACATTACAAATCGATATCTTTATCCACTCTTTCATTTAATACGCCCACATTTTTAATCTAATACATTCCTATATAAGCATATTTATGTTGTTTTTTATTTTCGCACTTACATATAAATTTTTTTAAATCCAGCAAGCTATTTTAAGTGTATGCGTAGTACGTGCCTAGTGTGTACCCCAAAATTCCCTTCTCAGAAATAGGCTATTATAATTTCCGTGTTATATGATATCCAGGGTTTTCCAAATTAAAAAATATCAATAACGGCACATAAAAATCTAAACAAACTTTGTCTTTAAAACATATACATATTTTGAGTTTTATTTACTTGTTTCAAAAATTGAAAACCATCTTTATTTTGCACGTTGTTGTTGTTGTTGCAAGTGTAGTTGTTTCTTTTTTTCATTTGCAAATATAAGCCATACCATAAATATTTCAAATCTCTAAAGATAAGCATACATAACGAAATACATGCTGAAAATGCTTAAAAATGTTTCGTTTCAAAATAAAAAATACAAATTAATGTCTAATATACGTTCATAGTATATAATACAATCTATATATAATTTATATATACTTATATTATTTGCTGATGCTTGTTGTTGATGATGATGATGATGTTGTTGTTTTTGAAAAATCGAGTTGCAAAGCAAACGAAAAAACAACAAAACAAAAAATACATTCTATAGAAGGGAGCTGTATAAGAGAGAAAGTAAGTGCGAGAGAGAAGAGAGTAAGAGAGAGGAGGGAAGTAGCTGAGCGAGCACCAGCAATTTTTTTTATAGAAGCATTTACAACAACAACTACATGCAGCAGCAACAGCAACAACAACCAAGTGCAGCAACTTACAAAAAACAAACACAAATACAATTGAAACAGCTGACAAAAATGAGACAGCAACTTATAACAGACGACAGCAACAACAACCACATAAAGTTGTGTGCGTGTGTGTGCGTGTAGCTTTTAGAGTACGAGGCAATAACAGAAAGAGAGGAAGAGAGAGAGAGAGATTGAAAGATTGCTGTTGTTTAAGCAGCAGCAACATCATCATTGTCAGCGACAGAGCGTCCCCAAAAATACAACTACTACAACAACAAAATATACAATACAAAACAAAGAAAAACCAATCACACCAAAATCAAAAATTGTAGTTTATTGCCAAATGCAACAACAACAACTGCGCCCCAAAGATCATGCAACAATTTTTTGTGTACTCATTAAACAACAACTAACGTTAGTAGTGTAGCTGCAACAAATAATAATATAATATATTAATAACAACAACAACAACCACCAACTACAACAACAACTACTAGAAAACAATAGAAACAAAAGCCGTTTAACTGTTGTGTTCTCCTACTACTCTACCCCTCTCTAAATGCCGCTCCGTCAATCACAACAACGACAACAACTTAAAGGCCCACAACAACCACCAACAACTACCACAATAGAACAAAAACAACCACACGCTAGTCGCAGTCGCCAAAGACGACCATATAAACTCACGCCACGCAACGTAAATCAAACTGAAACGCAGCTCAGTGGAAACAACAACAACAACCACCAGCAGGAGCACCAGCAGCACCACCGCGATCAGAAAGTGACCTTGTCAAGGGATTGTGCAATACAAACAGCTACGACGTCCGGCTATCAGCGTGCCCCTGGCCAGGGGGCACGTGCAACACGTAGCAGCAGCAACGCAACTAACGCTGCTGCCGCGAACGGTGGCAACGATTACAACAATAGTGTGGCAGCGCCCACAACAGCGTTGCACATGCCGCCAGCATTACCGCCATATACATTAGCGCATTATCCGCAAACAGCGCCACCGCCGCCACAACCTCCGCCGCCGCCGTTACATCCACAATTCGCTACGCACTTACTGCAAACGTCTTCCTTTGTGGCGCCTACACCGCCCACGGCACAGCAGCAACAGCAACCCTATCAGGCCTACTTCAGTACACAGCAGCAACAGCAACAACATCATCATCATCACCAGCATCAGCAGCAGCAACAAACACTGCCACAGCAGCCGCCGCATTATTATCATAATTCGGCAACTGCTGTAGCTGTGCTTAATTTGAATCATCAGCAACAACAACCACAGCCACACCATCATCATCACTATACATCCACAGGCCCATCAGCAACAACAGCAGCCACACGTGTAGCCGCAGCAACAGCAGCTGCTCCACCACAGCAACAAACGGCAGCAATTGCCGGTGGTCCGCCGCTTATTTATACGCCACAGTTGGCACGATATACTGCCACTGCCACCTTTGTGCCACCACCTCTACAGCAGCAGCAACAACAATCACAGCAACAGGCCTATCCACAACAGCAGCAGCCGCAACAGCCACAACAACATTCTTCATTGCGCCGCAGCTCACGCGGCAAAACGGGTTCTTGTGTGAGTTCAGCAGCAGCCGCACAGCAGCAGCAGCAGCATCAACAACACCCACATCTGCAACAACACCCACAATTGGGTAGCGGTGCAGCAGCAGCAGCAACAGCAGCTGTTGTAGTTGCGCCTAGCAACGCCGCCGCCGCTGCTGCTGCTGCACAACAACAACAGCAACTGCAAGCATTGCCGCCGCCCACCAGTTATCAATATCAACAGTTGGGCGGCAACACTGTTGTAGTTGCCGTGCGGCATCAGCAACAACAACAGCAACAGGCGCTGCAACATCAACAACAACAACAACAACAACAACAGCAGCAGCAACAGTTGCATCATCAACAGGCGCTGCAGCATCAACAACAACAACAACAACGCGCCACAATTGTTCAGCCTGGTTTTCTGTTTAGCTACCGCAGCAATCATTTGCAGCAGCAGCATCAACAACAACAACCACAGCAGCAGCAACCACAGTTGAACACCAGTGTTGCCAAAGCGACAACAAATAGCAGTGGTAAGTGTGGTTGTTGCAATCACAGCAGTAGCAGCAGCAGCAGCATCAGAAGCAATAAAAACAGCAACGGCGGCAGCAGCAAGAGAAACAGAAGCGTTAATCAAACAGATCTCTCCTCAATCTCACACTCACTGTTGACCATCCGACTCTTTTCGGACACTCTGTTAGGTGTATCTTCCCCGTCCATATTTTACTCTTACATTAAACAAACACGCACACGCACGCACTTACGTACTGTCAGACCTACGTACTATATATATATGTATGTATGTACAGGGGTTAGGTTATTAGAAGATATAGCCTAGGATTGTTGAAATCGATACAAAAAAATATAAAAATTTCTAATGCATCTTTTACCCTACGATGAGGGTCAACTGTCATTTCATACACTCCTTTAAAAATATCACACAATAAGATACATACGGATTTAGTTTTATTGTTATTATTTATTGACTTTTCTCATTTAAAACAAAACAGAAGTCTTTATATAGACTAATCAGCAATTCAACGAAGACTGTTTCTGTAATATTTCCGACATTACGTTAAAACGATGGGTTTCGCTCGAAAAAGAAATTGTCAAGTTAAAAATCAGTTGAAACTGTTATTGTTTTGTATTGTATTTTTATATTTTTGTATCCCAGTTTTATATGAATAGATTGGGCAGAGAATTGAAAACGTTGATGACGTATACATATATAGCATTTAAACTAGTGTACGATTTTCAGCTCACCATATCATTTAAAAACTTCATAATATCATCTATGATCGACACTACAAATGGTTGTAATAACAAAAATCTCAATTGTTTCGTAACATTTTATAGCAGAATTCTCCCCCTTATCGCATTCTATTCTTTCAGAAATTTTATGAAATCGTAAACTTAAGCCAAAACATCGATTTCATTTGGAAACGGAGCGTGTTCTTTGAAAAAGAATAATTAAATTGAATTCTATTTTATCAATTTCATAAATTTCAATTCAATATCAAAATGAAAAGGATCAATATATTTTCGTAAATATCAACAATCCTAGTCTAGATTATACTTCTTAGATTCAGTTTGTGGTCCGCTCATCATTACGTACCACTTATATTTCAATTCATTCTTTTTGTACAATATTTTTGGTGGAGCGGTGCTCGTCTAATGGTTTTGGTATTTGTTTATATAATTCTCTACCTCCCCCAACCCCCCATATTGTGGTCAAATCTCTTTATGGCCATCAAACTGTCCATCATACAAGCACAAACATGTTCGCCCAGCATTTGTATATCGCCCCATCTGTATTCTTCCCTTCCCGCTCTTTGACGATGAAACTGCCGCTCTGCTCTCGGTGCTGCCAAAGCTTTAACTGCCCAACAAATAAAACACTGATGTATATAATTAGATATGTTGAGTTGTTCTCGGGAATGTCGGGCGTATTTAATGTGTTGGTATTTCTCAGCAAGTTTGGAAAATGATCTCGACAAAGTTTTTTGTGAACGGACTACTTTTATAGACCACCTTTCACCATTCACTACTTTTTCACCGAACAGTTATACATTTGTTTATTTTCGAAAGGGTCCAACATTTTTCAAAACAACTGTTTTGTTTGAAGAGAAGGGGTTCACATTTTTGTAGTAATTTCGGTGAAGTTGTTCTTGAGATATTAAAACGTTATTAAAAATACATTATTATTGCTAAATTCCTTTTTTAAGTAAATTTTTGAACCAACCGATCTAAAAAGACTTTTAAAAACCAATTAGAAATTTTCAAAACCAGTTTTAAAGAAAAGGTACTCAGTTTTTAGATAACAGTTATTTTGATGGGGTAGATATGGAAGCTTTATCCCAGCCTTCCAAATGAATTGTTGAAGAAAATTATATAGAAAGATACTAAAACAAAACATTGTCACTTAACAAAACTTAGTTCGGCAACAATAGGAAAATTTTAGAGCTTGTTTCAATAGAGAAGAACTTCAAAACAATTATATATGCCTATATGATTATGTACTATATTGAACCTCTGATATATGGTTAAATGATGTGGACAATTTATTCAAATCTTAATAAAATATAAACAGTCGACTTGACATAATAAACTGCTGTGACGTTAAAATATTATATATATAAAAACAATATAGTTCATGCACATATATATATGTACATCATATTATATATATGTGTGTATGTATATCCAATGATATATAATTGAATAGTAACATTTGTAAACGAGAAACGAGTTGCTCATGTGTGTGTTTTTCTGTTCTTCTCTTTCTATTTTGTCTTATGTGTTCCCCTTGAATTAAACATCAAAATCCCAATACGATTCTATTCAGCAGCTTCGGATGCTTTAACATATAGTTTGATGGCACAACAACCGCCAAATGGACCGCCGCATACTGGTGGACAGCAAGGGACGACAGGTAAAAATGCAATAAAAGAAACCCCCAACAAAGTTACAAAGCATTTTATAGCACAAGCACCTACACAACCACATACAATCATATTTGCACAAACACACACTCACACGCACACGCACACCCACACCCACACACACAACAAACTCACTCAATCACTGCTTTTGTTTACTGCCATTTGAGAAATTTATATTATTTTTTAAACCAACTAATACAAAAACCCACCCACCACTATAAAGAAATTAAAAGGTGACAGCACAGCACATATTAGTTTATTATTTTTATTTGATAATTATCAAATTTATTATTTGCATTTTAGTTTGTCGTTACATTTTCTGTTTTACGTTTTCCAATACTAAATAGCATTTTCAAATTATGTTTACTTTGATATTTTTTTTTCAAGTATTTTTCGATGTCAATGTCGTTTTAATAGTTTTGTCACATAATGTCTGAACATAATATTGATTTTTTTGCCTTTCTACGCGATATCCGAACAACAGGTCCGAACTCGACTAATCTGAGCATCGTAGCTGCCGCACTGAGCGCCGCTCGTGATACGGGAGCCTCCGCCAGTAGCAGCGGTGGCGGCGCTGGTGGTGGTGGCAATATCGCTGCGGGAATTGGAGGAGGCGGTGCCAACAGCTCGACGGGTACGGGCGCAGGCACGGCAGCAGGCACAGGCAGCGTCACCACCACAGCAACCACCGGGAACAGTAACAGCAGTAACAGTGGGAACCACCAGCAAGCAACAACACAGGCCCCACCGCCAACACAACATGGCGACTCCGAGAGTGATGACAGCGAAGTGGGTCGTCTGCAGGCGCTTCTGGAGGCGCGTGGACTGCCCCCTCATCTTTTTGGTGCCCTCGGGCCGCGCATGACACACATCTTGCACCGGACGATTGGCAACAGCAGCTCCTCAAAGGCCAACCAACTGCTGCAGGGCCTGCAGTCGCACGATGAGTCGCAACAGCTGCAGGCTGCCATTGAAATGTGCCAAATGCTTGTGATGGGCAACGAGGACACACTCGCCGGATTTCCAATTAAGCAGGTGGTGCCGGCGCTCATCCAACTGCTGCGCATGGAGCACAACTTTGACATTATGAATAATGCATGTCGCGCCCTTGCCTATATGCTGGAGGCGTTGCCTCGCTCCTCGGGTACCGTTGTGGAGGCGGTGCCAGTATTTTTGGAGAAGTTGCAGGTCATACAATGCATGGATGTGGCAGAGCAGAGTTTGACAGCGTTGGAAATATTGTCGCGTCGTCACAACAAAGCCATTTTGCAAGCGAACGGCATTTCGGCCTGCCTCACATATTTGGATTTCTTCTCGATTGTGGCGCAACGTGCCGCATTGGCCATCACCGCCAATTGTTGCCTCAACATGCATCCCGAGGAGTTTCATTTTGTCACGGAAAGCTTACCCGTGCTGGCGCGTTTGCTCTCGCAACAGGATAAGAAATGTGTAGAGAGTGTTTGCTCTGCCTTTTGTCGTCTCGTCGAAAGTTTTCAACATGATCCCAAGCGTCTGCAGGAAATTGCGAGTACTGATCTCTTAAAGAATTGCCAACAGCTTTTGGTGGTCACACCGGTCATACTAAATACTGGAACCTTTACCGCTGTGGTGCGAATGCTGAGTCTCATGTGTGGCAACTGTCCGGACTTGGCCATTTCATTGCTACGCAACGACATTGCATCCACTTTGCTTTATTTGCTAACCGGGAATGCAGAGCCGCCCCAAAATGCGGACGGAGCCACCGCGACCCATGTGGAGCTTATCGCCCGCTCCCCTTCCGAATTATACGAATTGACCTGCTTAATTGGTGAACTAATGCCGCGTCTGCCTGTCGATGGCATCTTCACAGTGGATGCGCTACTCGATCGACCTACACTGAACACCCAGGATCAGGTGCAGTGGCAATGGCGTGACGATCGTGGAGCTTGGCATAATTATTCAACGATCGATTCGCGCATGATTGAGGCAGCCCATCAGAATACAGAGGACGAGATAAGTTTGAGCACCTTGGGACGTACCTACACCGTCGATTTTCATGCCATGCAACAGATCAACGAGGATACCGGCACTACGCGTCCTGTACAGCGCAAAATCAATCCCAATTATGTGGCGCCGGCTTCAACAGCTGGACAGGATCTCACGGCTGCTTCCACATCAGCAGCGGCAGCAGCAGCAGCAGTAGCCGCCGCCTCCACTTCTACATCGGCAGGCACAGCTGCTCCAGCAACACCATTGGCAACAACAACAACTGTCAACAATAACAACAACAACAACAACAACAATGCTAGTACTGGAAAACGTCGCCCCTCGGTGGACGCACGCATTGCCTGCCTCAAGGAGGAACGTGGCTTGGCGGCCGATTTCATTAAGCACATCTTCAATGTACTGTACGAGGTGTACAGTTCATCGGCCGGTCCCAATGTGCGCTATAAATGCTTGAGGGCTTTGCTACGCATGGTCTATTATGCGACGCCTGAGCTACTCAAACAAGTGCTCAAATATCAGTTGGTGTCCAGTCACATTGCTGGTATGTTGGGTAGCAACGATTTGCGGATTGTTGTTGGCGCATTGCAGATGGCCGAGATACTGATGCGTCAGCTGCCGGACATATTTGGCACACACTTTCGTCGGGAGGGTGTCATCTATCAGTTTACCCAATTGACTGATCCCAATAATCCCATATGCGCCAATCCGTCACCCAAGCCACTGAGCACCACAAGCAGCAATGCAGTTACGCCCAATGCTGGTGGTTCGCAGAGTGCGCCCGCATCTGCCTCCAGTCTGCAGGTGAATCCGTTTTTCATGGATCAAACCAGCGCCAGTTCCTCCAGTGCCAGTGTCAGTGCCAATAATACGCCCAATTCCAGCAAACATCAGTCCTATACGGTAAAAAGCTTTTCGCATGCCATGAATGCGTTAACCGCCAGCGCCAATGCGGTCTCTGCCTCACAGAAGCAACACCACCACCAACAGCATCAGCAGCAAACACAGTCGTCCACATTAGATGGCTATAACTACAGCAGCTCTGCGCCAGCTGGAAATCATTTGACAGCCGCAGCAGCAGCATCAAGCTCGCAGCCACCAGCGTTCTATGTCTATACGACCAGTGCAGCGGGTGGTGCAGCTGCACCACCACCATTACCCCATGGGAACGATCCGCGTCATTATGTGCACTTCCAACATCCACCGCCCCCGCCAATGAGTGCGCGGTACGATGGACAGCAACAGCCGTCGGTGTTGCAGCAACCACATTTGGAGGTTATTGCGCATGCGCCACCGCAGCAGCATTTGCCGCAAGTCATTTATACCACACACACACCGACACCAGGCGTTCTGGATGCAGCCTACCAGCAGCAGCAGCAGCAACAACAGCAGCAATCCCATATGATAGCCGTTGCCTCCACCAGCAGCGCAGCGGCGGCAGCTGCCACCTCGAGCAGCAGCAACAACAATTCGACCTCAACGTCTACATCGACATCATCGTGTTCCGCTTCGGCGTTGCAGCACAAAATGACGGATATGCTGAAGCGTAAGGCACCACCGAAGCGCAAATCACAGTCCAGCGGACGATCAAAGTCACGTCAGGAGGATGCGGCTGCGGCGGCTGCTGCTGCAGCTGCCGGCGCCTCAGCCTCGTCAGCAATGCATGAGCTACTAAGTCGCGCCACCAGTAAGTTCGCGCCCAACGGGCTACATCAACGACTCAATCGTATTAATCGCGCCGCCTTTCCGCCCACAGGTCTTGGGAGCAGCAGCAGCGGGGGTGGCGGAGGTGGACGCAATACGCCTAGCAGCTCCTCCGGTGGCGGGGGCACCAAGTCCCGCTTTAGCGCTGGCAATACAACAACCAATGCCAATAGCTCCAGCAGCTCAACCAAATCCTCATTTCTCGCCTCGCTCAATCCGGCACGCTGGGGCCGTCAGGGATCGCATCATCATCATCACCATCATGGCGGCATGACCAAAGAATCGAGCAGTACAAATGCAACAGGTAGTGGTGGCGCCTCTGGCAGTGGCTTAGCCTACGCCAACAGCAGTGGGGCTGGCCATCATCATCACCAGGCCGGCAGCGGTAGCGCAACTGGCCATCATCATCATGCCAGTGGTATGAACGCAGCCGCTGTCGCCGCTAGCATTAGCAAGAGCATCTCCAATGCTAATCTTTTGGCAGCAGCTAATCGGGAGCGTGCCCGCCAATGGGTGCGTGAACAAGCCGTGGACTTTGTGAAGCGCTATACTGAGCAGGAGGCCAAGAGGAATGCGGCAAATAAAAATGCTGCAGCCACTAACTCAACAATGACACCGGAAGCCACTCCATTGGCTGCCGGAAGCACTAATGTTCTTGAACGTCTCTCGGCAATACTATTTAAGTTGAATGGCAGCTATCACGACTGTCTCGATGCATTGCTTGAGCTAAAAACCATATTACTGGAGAGCGATATTTCGCCATTTGAGGTGAATCATTCCGGTTTAATCAAAGCTATGCTTAACTATATGACCAGCGAGAATGGATTGGTGGAGCGTGATGCGCGCTTACGCACCTTCATGCATGTATTTGCCGGCCTGCCCCTGGAGCCGGTAATGAATGTCGGTCAAATGCCAGCCATTGAACCATTGGCTTTTGCCGCTTTTGTGGCCAAACTGAATGGCTGTGTGACTCAGCTGGAACAGTTCCCTGTTAAAGTGCATGATTTTCCCGCCGGACCAGGTGGTCGCTCCAATCAGAGTGCGTTGCGTTTCTTCAACACTCATCAGTTGAAGGTGAGTAGAAACTTCTAGAAACCTGGTTATATCCATAATTACAGCTGAGAGAATAAGGGGGAGTACTCAAAAGCCTAGACATGTCCGTCTGTCTGTCTTGTCTGTTCGACCGTATGAACTCCGATTATTTTTACACCATAACAGCTAGGGCCACCATGGACTGTGGTGGAAATAGGGACGGGTATACGATATACTAGAGTCGAGATCGAGCGACATTAACATTATACTCCAGACTAAAGGATTCTTCCATCTTCTGAAGATACTTAATTTTCGTTATCTTTTGATTTGTAACACAGTGCAACTTGCAACGTCATCCGGAGTGCAACAATTTGCGTCAGTGGAAAGGTGGCACTGTCAAAATCGATCCACTCGCCATGGTGCAGGCTATCGAACGTTATTTGGTGGTGCGCGGCTATGGCGGCATACGTGCCGACTCCGATGATGATTCCGAGGAGGATATGGATGATAACGTCGCCGCTGTCGTTATGACTCAAGCGGGCTTTAAGCACAAATTACAATTCCTTATTGGCGATCACGTGCTGCCATACAATATGACTGTTTATCAGGCGGTTAAACAATTCTCACCGCTGGTCAACGATCAATCCGAGACTGACACAGAATCGGAAACACTGCTGGGTATGTTCAGATCTTGAAAAAGAATTAAAATCATTTTATAACAATGTTTTGGTTGCAGGCAACGCCAGCGTATGGGTACAGCAACACACTATTTACTATCGCCCGGTAGAGGAGGAACCGCAATCAGGTTCACAGAATGCCAGCTCCTCGTGTAGCAGCAACAAGCAACAGGCTAGCAACAATTCCGCCAACGCATCGACCTCATCTTCGGCGGCCAGCAATAATGCGACAGCATTGTCCAATTCATCATCTCTGGCCTCGTCCTCCTCATCTTCCAACTCAAAGAAAAGTCACAAATCCAGCACGAAATTCATGCGCAAGAAGACCGAACTATGGCATGAGGGCATAGCGCCCAATGTGATGTCGGCACTGAAGCCATTCCTTAGTTCTACGCTGCCCGGCGATGTGGTGACAGTGCAGGATGCCTCGATCGATGCCCTCTGCATGTTACGCATTATACACGCCCTTAATCGGCACTGGGAGCATTTGTATGGCTGCGTAGTGCGTCAAAATATCATTGCCCAGTCGGAGTTTGTTCATCCAAAGATTACAGCAAAGGCCAATCGCCAGTTGCAGGATCCTCTGGTTATCATGACTGGAAATCTGCCACAATGGCTACCACAAATTGGCATGGCCTGCCCCTTCCTGTTTCCCTTCGATACGCGACACTTGCTGTTCTATGCCACCAGCTTTGATCGCGATCGCGCTCTACAGCGTTTGTTGGACACCACACCCGATCTCAATTCGGCGGAGTCGTCGGAGCGTGTGGCGCCGCGTTTAGATCGTCGAAAACGTGCGATATCGCGTGCTGATGTTCTCAAGCAGGCCGAACACATACTACAGGACTTTGGACCCTCAAAGGCGCTGCTGGAGATACAGTACGAGAATGAGGTGAGTTTTTTTTAAAGCATTCAGAAATAATTATATGCGCCCGCCTAGTTTCGTATATTTCTTTGGGAATATTTTAAATTTTAAGTGATGATAATACAACGATCTAATCTAATTGTGCGCATTTCTTTTTTAGGTTGGCACCGGCTTGGGTCCTACTCTTGAGTTCTATGCTTTGGTCTCTGCAGAGCTGCAACGCACAGATTTAGGTCTGTGGAATGGAAGTGATAGCTATAAACAAAACTCCGTCACTATTATGGATGTGGTCAAGGCCAGTGCAGCGGTGGTCCAAGTTGATGATGCTGTGGATGCCACCGCAACCGCCGCTACAACCACAACCACCCCCATCGTTACTGTGGATCAGCAACAGCAGCAGTTGGCAAACATTGCGAGTGCCACATCAACCACAACAACTACCGCGCACATAACGCGCTCCAGTAGCCGCACACATGCGTTGCGCAGCGGTGCTGGCGCCATTAATAACTCGATTAACAACCATGCTGAGCACAGCTCGTCAAATGCCACCAGCAGTAGCAGCAGCAGCCATGCCAACGTGTCCGTGCAGGGCGAGAATGCTTTAAATATGATAATTGCACAGCAATTTAGTGATATGGCAACGCAAAGCGAAGCGGGTGATAATAACAGTGGCAGTGGTGCGCCGACAACCACCACCATTGGAGAGCTAATGTCGACATCGACCATAACAGCATCTGCAGTTTCCTCAACTGTCAGCTATGTGCATACGGCACACGGTTTGTTCCCCTTGCCTCTGGGAAAATCCTCCAAATTGCCACAAATGACAAAAGCCAAAACCAAATTTAAGTTCTTGGGAAAATTCATGGCCAAGGCGGTGATGGATAGTCGCATGGTAAGTAGAGTATAACTTATTGAGTTCGTTAAGCTGCTATTTGCTCACCAATATATGCTATTTTAAAAACAAATCTAATGTTTTAGTAAAGAATTTTTTTTATTTTTAATTTAACCAGCATATAATTTAAATAATATGTACATTTATTTTAAACCCCTAATTTCAATGTGTGTTTCATAGTTGGACTTGCCTTTCTCGCTGCCCTTTTATCGTTGGCTGGTCAACGAGGAACACTCGATTGGTCTGGCCGATTTGTCTCGTGTTGCGCCGGAGGTGCAAAATACGTTGGTGCGTCTTCAGGATTTGGTGCGACAACGTGAATATATTCTGAGCGATCCTAATTTAGATGCCATGGAGAAGACAGAAAAGGTAAGTTTACAATCGATTTCAATTTAGACATTTGCCTAATAGTGCGTCTTATTACAGATTGAACATCTTGATTTGGACGGTTGCCCTATTGCGGACTTGGGATTGGATTTTGTTTTACCCGGACACGCCAATATTGAGTTATGCCGCGGCGGACGCGATACACCTGTCACTGTGCACAACCTACACCAGTATATCTCGCTGGTCACGTATTGGTTCCTCATTGAGGGCGTGCAGAAGCAATTTGAAGCTTTGCGTGAGGGTAAGAAGATGACGAAGCAACTAGGAAATAGATAACTAATTCTAAATTATGGTTGTTGCAGGCTTTGATTCTGTGTTTCCCATACAACGTCTGAGAATGTTCTATCCGGAGGAGCTGGAATGCGTTTTCTGCGGATCAGGCAGTGAACAATATCAGCGCTGGGAGCTGAAAATGCTGCAGGACAGCTGTCGCACGGATCACGGCTTCCATCAGGAATCTCAGGCCATACAATACCTTTACGACATACTTGCATCTTATAATCGTGATGAGCAGCGGGCTTTCCTGCAATTTGTCACTGGCTCGCCGCGTCTCCCAACCGGCGGCTTTAAGGCCCTAACGCCTCCACTGACCATTGTTCGCAAGACATTGGATGGCAATCAGAATCCAAATGATTATCTACCATCTGTGATGACCTGTGTCAACTATTTGAAGTTGCCTGACTATTCAAGTCGTGATGTGATGCGGCAGAAGCTGAAAGTTGCTGCCAATGAGGGCAGCATGTCCTTCCATCTGTCATAAAAAGGCAGCTCAGCGACAATAGCAACAACAACTCAATTGGTGGCAATATCCCACTGTACACTTTGCTTGTTTGTTCTTTTTCTGTTCCGCAATAGCCGAAAACCAGCCCCTAACCTTAGTTGATAAAGTTGAATTTGTTATATTTCCTCTTCTGATTTTTAGCATATTTAATGGTAGGCTGGTGGAAGAAGGCTTTCGTTAACAGATGCATCTCAACTCAAATGGCCAAATTTTTGATTAGTTTGTAGTGAAAGTTTTGGCGCGCGATTCATTTATATTTTTTAACCAAATTGAAATAATTCCCAAACAAACAAGCAAGCAAACAAGCAAATTGATTCAGCGACACACCCAAAAGCCACATTTAAATGTTACAAATAAATTGATTAGTAAATGAAATTCCTTCAGAAAACCGGAAAACAAGTAGCAAGGTTTTTTAAAAAAAAAACAAATGAAATGATAAGTTTTGTTTATGAATTCCTCAGACATGACAGAATCGAGTTGATGCTTTAGTTTTATACAATTTTGTATGTTTACTAAGAAAGGCGCTAGTTTCAAGTTATGATTATATTTGCTTAAAATAATAATAATCTCGTGCACATTGCAAAACACTGTGCATTAATTAAAATTTTTATTAAGTTTCTTGTTATGTTAACACATTTTGTTTAGTTCTTGCTGAAAAACCATAGCACTTGTATGTTCGAACAATTTGAACAATTCTATTTGTGGAACAACCATTAGATGTTGTTTTCATTTAACTATTTAAGCATAATTATGCATAAAAACGCTTATAAATTAACTGAGTGTGCAGGGCAGTCAGCTTTGATGCGGCAAGAGTGTACCCTCTTGATTCCTTGACCTCCGAACGCTGTAAATTTAATGCATAATTTCAAGAAACAATGCCTAACAATTGAAAAAAAGAAGAAAAAAAAAGAAAAGCAAATTAAAAAAGAAAACACTAAGCCCAAAAACGCCCACCCTTACGATTTATATACGAAACACATGCTATACACACAAAATATAAATATACTATATAAATATAAAAAATTCATTCAAATATTTGCAATAAATGTATTGTGAGAACCTTGATCGTGCTAAAATTCAATTTCGAATTCAAATTTGAATTCATTGAGAAGTGGAGTTAATTTTTAGCAGAGCCCATAAACAACTATGTGTTGTTTAAAACTAATTAATATAATTGCGATATAAATACAAAACAACAAACTTATAAGCAACATCAAACTTCTGCAGTACTGATCTGATGTGTGTGGTATATTATTTACTTAGCATATACATACATACATAAATACATATATCTAAATATATACATACATACATATACGCGTTTAAACATATAACAATTAAACTGATGATTATCAAGTTAAACATGCTAGCATTAAATTAAATACATAATATTACATATGCATATAATAATAACGATAACGATAATGGTATAAACTTAGTTTAAATCAAGAAAATAGCTGTTTTTAATATCAAAAGAACAGCAGCAACAAAGAAATCAGCAAAAACAAGAAACATACAAGCAAAATGAAAACGAAAAATAAAGAAAAATTTCATAAATGAAAAAGAGTTAATATTATTTTAAACAATGATTTGTGGCCCCCGTGACTATTATTATGCCTTGTCCGAATGAAATTGTAATCAAAAGATCTGAAACAAAGTTCGTTGTTCCCCTTAATTAGAGATGTAGGCTCATCGATTTCCTACATTGAAACGAAAATCGCCATATATCTGTAAATTTGTCATCGATGGTTGCTGCTCTTAGGGATATAAAAAACATCGACACTAACCATTCAACATATACATAGATGCTTCATTTCATACAACGAAAACGTCCCATCGAAATTGTGAGCGACAGCTCCCATAGCTGTTCGGGTATTTGCCGAATGGGAGCTGTATGTTGTATGGTTAGTGGTTTAATGAAGACAAGATAGCTTGTTTGAAAAATCGATACATCGATGTATCGATATTTATTAATATCACTAATCTAATCTTCGGAAACCATTGTTTTGTATAGATTGGTCGTCGACGTATGTATTTCTTATAAATACCAAAACAACATCCTGTGATACATACAAGTACGAGTATTTACGGGTGTTTAATACTCGTATTAACCAAAATCCATTCGTTATGGCGTGGCCTGCGGTTTTGAAGATCACGGCACAACCATCGCCGCATTATAAATTCTTCCCATTAAGCAAGGGGCTTGGTGCACCTCTGAATGCGACAGAGCTGACATTAACGTGCTCTAAGCCAATTACCAGTCGGATACAGCTTGTGTGTCAATTGGTTCAGCAGTACAAAGGTTATGATCGTTATCTTGTATCTCCAAACACACTCCAATATGTGGGAAATGACAGCAAACTAAACTTTGAGCCAGTATGTCTTGAAATAAAGGCCGTTGATAGTGAGCATATCACTTTCAAATTTGTATTGGGCAGCTATTGCATTGCTAAGACTAAAGATACAGAAGTAATAGCACACTTAGAGGAACTGAAGAAAAATGTAACTCCTGATTTGGTTCAGTTGCCACTGGATGAAGTGATTACCCAGAACTTTGAAAGGAATGATATGGTAAGTGTTTGTATCTGTATAGCTGATTCATCACCTTAATATATTCTAATATTTCGATAAAGGTTGCTTTAGCTTTTACACCCTTTATAATAGAAGGCGCCAATCGGTGCAAAATCGGAGAAACAGTCTTCTCGACAGGCATTCTCAATGCGAACGAGCGAGTAAACATCATCCATTGTTGCAATGAGAAAATACCCTTTTGTTGTAAAACGATGTTGCATTTGGTACTTTCCGACGTTGCAAAAGACTATCAGATTAAATTGTTTAATGAAGAAAGACAATGGGAGTCGGCGCTTATTAAGCCCACATCGAATGAAAAACTCAAGGCAAAAAGTATACTAGTTTATGAAGCGCCAAAATATGATGGCCCCAGTTCGTCAATTGATACTGTTGTTGCTTGCAAGCTGAAGCTGTACGATGGGATCGAAGAGCTGGATGAAACGGATGTTAGTTTTGTCGGAGTGGCCAAAAATAATTCGGATGTTTCAATTCCAACCGATTTGGAAGTACAGCGTTCGCTAGGTGCAGAGGTGAAAAATTTACAAAAGTTGGTGTCTGAATTTTTAAACCTGCTACCGCCATTAATTAAAAAGCCCACAACTATGGAAACACGGATTCTGAGTGATTTACTTACGAAACTGTTTAAGGAAGACACCAACATAAAACTCCGACACAGAGCTTTGCAATTTATTATAGAATATGGTTCTATGGATCTGCTGATACGATTAAACTTGTTGTCTGAGTTTGTTTGGGCCACGAACGGAAGGGAGCTTCATAGTCCCGGCGTCTATTTATTGCCCACAATTTGCCCTAAATGGGTTAATCGTAACCAATACAATACAATAATAGTCCTTTTAGGTTTTTATAATTTCCGCACGAACGCTCGTATATACTGGATGAAGAACTTTATTAATTGGTCGAAATCAATACAATGTCCTGGTAAGTAGTTTAAACATTCAAAATTTCGTACTTAATTTCGCGATTTGCAGAGATTTCAGGGAATGCCTTTGTCAAGCTAAATGATTGGGTTAAGCAAATCGAACATTCAAGAGTTCGTGGATCATTTCGAGATTTTATATTGGTTTTTACTGGGGTAAGTTTATATTTTACTCTTTTTATACTCTGTACGTAAAAGTGAAAAATTTAACAGGCAGAATGAGGCGTAGTAGACCTCACAAAGATTATATTCTTGATCAGCATGACAAGACGAGTCGATTTAGCCGTGTCTGTCTTTCCCTCTGTCCGTATTCCAAGACTATAAGAGCAGATGTCTAATACATATGTGTACGCAATACAAGTGTACTTATTTCAAAATTTGTCTCTATCCCCCCACTACACTGCAATCAGTGATTCTTGGAATTTTTGTTTTTCAAATTCTACAGTTACATTCGGCTAGTGCTTATGTGTTTATCGCGATAGGTAAATTTCAAAGGAAGTTATAACGCTTTATGTAATCTCTGCCCATGCTTTGCTAGCAGTTGTTGTTGTTGCTGCTTTTGCTTAACTCTGGCCTTCTACTTGTTTTGTGGAGTGAAGAGCATTTAAGAGTCGGGACCGCTCGATTCTAGTTTTAACTTCTTGAGTTTCCTAATTTATGTGTTCTTGCCATTGCAAAACTGTATTTCAGATCGATTTCGTACCATCACTGAAAGAATATGACAAATTGATTCAAAATATATTTTATGAAGACGATGCTTTTAAAGACCATTGGGCTTTTTTGTATAAAGTAGTCAATTCGGAAAACAATGAACTTTGCAACATTAGTAAACAGCTTTGCAAATTGGTACTTCAGAATAAAAGAAGTGATGTTAACAACATGAGCATTGTGGACAAGGTTAACCAACTCGTAAATTATGAACCACGTGTCTCAAAACACGGCTGGTTCCGTTTCATAGCAGCGTTTATCTCATCATGCAACTTTGATGATAATCCTTCTCCATGGCATCTCTGTCGCAAGGCATACGGTTTGGATGAAGAGTTTCTTTCCGAATGTACAAGCCTAAGAGACATTCAGGAACACTTTCTTGACAAATTAGAGTGTACAACAGAAGAAGAGCAGGAATTTGTTCGGATGAAAAGTGTCGATTATTTTGTCATAGAGAGAGTCAATGCGTGGGGCCAGCTAAGAAGGTTCCGACTGGACCCTTCTAAACTTCTTAAAGATGGCTCAAAACTGATTACATATAAGATGGCCATTTTGTTCAGTGAAAGTACCTTGGCAAATGAAAGTGTCCTTTTCCAAATGCTTCGTTCGGCAATGGAAATTAATATTTCCATGGGCAACCTATGCTATGAATCAAAAACACTGTAAGTGATTTCAATTAAAACTTGTACATTTGTTTTTGAATCTTAATTTTTAATTACAAAGGTTTGGACAAGTTTTAGAGCATAGGACGGAAGATCCTACCGATGAAACGATTTTGAACTATGCAGAGGCAATTTTGAAACTTACGGCACCTTTCAATGTATGGCCTTATATGATGTATAAATATATAGACGATTCTGAATTACTGGCGCGTTTCATTATCGAAAAACTGCTTCCCTATGAAGTTCCGGCAGGAGATGAATGGTGAGCAAAAAATGCCTTATAACCAGTAATGAGAATAACAATTCGGCCTTCATCTCATCTACAAGATGACAAACATTGTTCTGAAGAGAAGCATATAAACTTTATTTTACATTTGACAAACCCGATAGCTATACTCAATATTCTATCTTATTATTTCCACAGGTCGATGGATATTAAAGGATTCGACATCTTACCTCTTAAAGTAAATAAAGGCTTCATAACAAAACTAATAAGAGAGCATAAAAAATACTCAGAAGAGAAGCCGAAATACGTTCGCAACTCGATGGATCATTTAATTAAAATACGAATAGGCAGAATCTTATTGGCTTGTCGTACTACCAATAGTTGGGAAGATGAATGGTGGACTTTAGTTCAGGCACCATATGATCATCCAAATGTTAAGTACATGTACGAGTGCTTCTTGGCGCAACACATTACCTATGATGCCTTAATGGGTCGCTTGAGGACGTTTGGGGAAGAGCATGAGAACAATAAACTATCGCTTATATCTGTTGTGCACATTTATATCGATACAAAACTGAGCTCTTTTGAAACATGGAAAGAAATGATAATGAAACTTCAATTGGAGACAGAAATAAGCGGCTCCCAATTACATCATAGATATGCTAACTTGATAAGAAATCATGTTTCCAGGAGCGAAAAGGAAATAGAAAATACAAGAGAACAGATACTAATTTATTATGAAGACGAGGGTATACGATTTTTACTACCACATTTAATTAGATTACAAAACGGCCATTTGATTGTTTCCAATACTTTATTAAATAAGACTTTTGCGCCATCAAGTGAATATTGGGATCATGATGAGTGGCGTGAGTTACTTAAACCGCTTATTCCATGGCTCGGTGACGATGATAATGTAGAAGAATAATCATCCCATAAACATACATAGGCCCATAGTCGGTTTTCTTGTATCTGAATTGTAAAATAAAAACAACTTGCATTACAACCGCTTAAGAGAATATTTCTAATTTTGGGGGAATCTAAAGATAACCATGTCAAAGACTTTGGGTGATTTTTTACTTCTATGACTCTCAACAGGGTGAAGATAACAAAATGGACTGACAAGTTTTTAACTTACTTTCAGAGATTTAATAGGGAGGGAGGAAAGGTCCATTTTAATAGTGGGTTAATAAGTTAAAAAACAGTTCCTATTGTAAGCTGATTTGAAGAATTTAAACCAATACTAGTACAGAACTCGAAAGTGGGGGGAAAATGAAAAAAAAAAAAAAATTATATAAGAGAGTCTAAGGGGACTCCCCATAAAACTGATCAGGAATTTATAAATCTTAGAGGTTTGAAGTTCCTCTCTGCAGCCTCTTATGTAAATTTTTACAAATTTGTCGTTATGTTTAGTTTATTGTCTGGTGGGATAAGGCTTCCATAACTTCAAAATGGTGTGCGATTAACAGTGTAACAATAGTCAACTAAATGTAAAAGCCCTTCATGGATAGTTCTATAAATAATCCTTTGGAACTGTATTCTAGTTATGTTTGAAAGTTGGATGAGGCAGTTGAAATGCATCTTTACGACTTCAGACAGGCATCAGAGCGCCGTGTATAGGTCTTAAATATTTAAATTAATGAAGACAAACAAAATTTGGGAAATGTGGTTTTCTTTGTAAAATTATTAAGGAAAAATAAAGTGCTAATAATAAATACCAAACAATAATATACTCCGAGTAATTGCTAAAAGATAAGATGTAAAATAGTACGCCACTTCTTCTCGAGAAAGTATCAGATTAAGCAAAGCTCGATAAGTATGCGAAGTAGTAAGGGGCGGCTAGTCTTTTTTTAAATCTAACAAGAGAGAACGCTACAGTCGAGCAAGCTGGACAGTGAAATACCCTGTACCCAGACATACTTCCGACCCTATTTTCCTCTAGCAGAAGCAAAAAGAAGGGGAAGAGCTAACTTGAAAGTGAAATTATTTCGCTAATAACTTTTCTTAGAATTAACCGAATTACAATTAACTTGATGAAATTTGAATCAAAAGTAGATAATTATATAATAACTATGTGTGAAAAGTTTGGTTTATTTATTTTTGAAAATGTAGACAGTATTGGCGAAATTCGGGGAGAGGGGATGAAAATCCAAAAAATAAAATGAACTCGGATAAACTAGGGACAAGGAGCGTCTACATACCAAGTTTTGTTAATGTTCGCTCAACCGTTTCCAAAATCCAGGCGTTCATCCAGACAGACGGACGGACAGATGGACGGGCATGTCTAGATCGATTTTTCTCATCATGCTGATCAAGAATATATGTATGTTCAAACATGCTATATACATAAGTAGTATATTCGAAGTAAATTGTATTTAGTTTTATTTAGACAGCAGCGTATTCATCTGGATTAAGTAATCATATTTTATCGGGAAAATTAAGTGAAACCACGCTTAGATGCGTCGAAGAGTCATCCTTAGCCGAGCTCATATCAGAGGCCGATGATCGTGCACTGAAACCTGCGTAAAGTAGTCAGAAGTTTAGAAATAAATAGCGCTAACAAACGTTTTCTGTTATCTGCCACTCACCCTTTAGCGACGAGATGTATGAGGCATCCATGGATGATGATGAAGCGCTCTTCCAGGATACGCAGCTGCGTGTGCGCTTCAAATGCTGCGGCAACTTGAGTCCTTTGCGTAGCATGTAGTGTATAATTTCGGGACCGTCCTCGTCGCTGGCGGCCATGTCGGCGAGCAAGTTTAATGCCTTCGTATTGCGATTCTCCAGCTCCTGCAAATCTAAATCTCGTTCGAACATCTCCAGGAAATCATCACTAATCGGTCTCTGTTTGATCTCTTTGAGCGCTTGGCGTATCTCCCGAGCGGCACGATCCATTTTCGTGTGCTGCTCTTCCAGTTCCTTGCGTAGTTTCTCCAACAGCTCTGAATTTTCTGCCCGCTTTTGTTTTGCGGCCTCTACCTTCTTCAATAGTTCGTCCTGCTCCGCTTTCTGCTGTTCCTGTTGGGCATCGTAACGCTGAACCTTGCAACGCAGAAACTTTAGCTTGTTCAGATCATTGCAAAAAGTCGCTTGCAATTCTTTCAGTTCCTCCTCGGCCTTTTCTTGGGCTGTGTGGATGGCAATATGATTGAGGAGACGATTATTATCATAAAGATCGTGCACGAATATATTTATGTACATATGTATTCATTAAGACAGCTCTACGATTCTACAAACCTATAACTAACCGAATTTTCTTAAGGTATCTTCAGAAACATACCATATATTTGCTCTGAGTATGAATATCACAATATCTACAATCTACATACAAAGTTTGGCCGTCCTAGCTATTAAAAAACCCCTTGGGAAACCCCCCTCTATAGGGAGCATCCCCCTGTACTTACCCTTCGAGCTTTCGTCGGCTTTCTTGAAGGTTTGGCGATAATTGTCATTAGAGCGATCGAATTGACGTAGCGTGTTCTCCAAAGCGACAACTTCGGCCTCAGCCTTTAGCACCTTCTTGTTCAGGGCATCCCCTTGATCGGCGAGCAGCTGACGTTCCTGGGCGCTCTCCACCTTCAGCTGTGTGGCCGTCACAACAGTGCCGTCATCATTGGTGCCGAGAAGTCGGGAGGTCAGTTCGAAGCGGGCACGTACAGCTTCGATGTGTTTCTTACGTTCGCCAAGATCGGCACGCAAGGTGCTCAGCTCTTCGGACAAATGTTTGCGCTTTAGGTTAAGCACATCCTCCTGGCTGCGCAGCTCCACAAAGCGATCCTTGACCGCACGCTGAAATTGCAGACGATGCTGAGCCAGATCATAGGTGCCCTTTTCGCAGCCTTCGATGCCCAGTTCCATGTCACGGCAGCGCATCTTCACCAAACTGAGTTCCACAATCAGCTCAGAGTTTTCGAAGCGATTCTGTCGCACACGCTTGACGGTGCCCTCGCAGTAGACCTGCGCCTCCTTGATCTTGAACTTGACCAGGTCTAGTTCCTTGGCATCGTTGTTATAGACGCCGACCAATGCGTTCATGCTATAGTTGAGCTTCTTGTTTTGCGCCTCTGTGGATACCAATCGACGCTGCAACTTCGCATAATACTGCTCTAGATCGGCCAGAGTTTGCTGATTACGCTCCTCCGCCTCGGGATCGACCTGACTGCCGCGCATGGTCGCCAGTCGACGCTCAGCCTCCAGATACTTGAACGCCATGTTGTAGTGTATTTCCGTTTGGCGACGCAGCTCCTTCTCAAGACCACGGGAACTGCGTCGCATGGCGTTCAGAGTGGAGCGCAATGCATCTGTGTTCACTAGCAGTGTCTTTTCCTCGTCTTTCAGCTCGTCAATTTGGCGTTGAGTGCGAAACAGCAGATCGTTCACCCGGTCCTGCTCCTTGGTGAGATCACGCAACAGCTTGTCCTCACTGTCGTTCATATCCTCGAGAATTTGCAGGCGCTGCGCTGCATTCATCGTCTTATTCTCCATGGCCTGCATGCGTTCGGTTATCTGCTGCACCATTTCAGTGGATTTCTCAATCTCAGCCAGCTTGGCGTCGCGCTGTCCAATGAGCTTGCGATTCTCCAGGCGCTGCAAATGCACAGAATTGGAGAGATTTTCAAGCTCCTTGCGAAGGCCTTCGATCTCACGCTCCTTCAGACGTCCAGCATCTATCAGTTGCTGTAATTGTGCCTTCATGCCCGATGTTTCCATGTTCAGCTCCTCAATGGTCGCTTCGACTTCACGATTGTTCTCAATGATTCGGTCTAGTTGTTTGTCGTATTCCCTGTAGTCCGCCGCCCTGGTTTCCGCCCGCTCCTCCAAGGCCAAGCACTCCTCCTCGCCCTGTTGGATGTCCGTCTCACGTTGCGTCATTTGATTGACCGCCTGCTTCCAGGTCTCCACCATTTGGCGACGTTCCAGATGCGCTGTCCGATACAGACAGGCCGTACGCTCTAGATTCTTCTCCAGCGTGTTCTGCTCATCGTACAGTTGAACGATCACCTTCCGTTTCTTATCAATTTCCGCCTGAAGCTGTTGCCGACGCGTATTTAACTCGCGCGCCTTCTGCTGATCATCCAGATAGTACTTCTCGATCAACTCGTAGCCCTTGTTGCCATCCTCCATGGCCTCGGTCCACTCGAGTAGCGCCGTCTTGGAGCTTTTTATGCGCGACGTCATATCATCGATTTCGTGCTTGTTCTGCGCAATTGTGCCTGCCGGAAGAAGAATACAATTGTAATCATTTATATAACACTACTGTCGAGTATCCACATACGTTGCATGCGCTCGCTAAGCTCGGTGTATTCCTCCATTTCCTTCTTATTTTTGCGCAGGTCCTCCTTCAGTTTGTTGCGCTCCAAAATAACGAGCTGCATTTTATGTGCCTCCTTCAGGACATCGTTCTTCACCGTGTTGTAGAAGGTCTGAAAATAGTCGATGGGTTTTTTTTTTTTGACTAATTCGCACTTTTAAGACCTATCCTCAGAGCTCACTATATTTTGTTGGACCGTGGCGTCAATGTTGCGTCTGTGCCGCTCTATGGCCTTGTCCCGCTCATCCAGTTGCTTCAGCTTCTGCTGCAAATCAAACTTCAGCGCTCGCAGCTCATCCATGGACTGAAGTATCGCCAGATTTTCGTCATTCGCCATGGGAATATCGGCATCCACGTTCCAGCCCATGGCCCGCATCGCATCGAGCTTGAAGTCATCCGTCCATGCGCTCTTCATGTCGTCCGTTTTATTCATCTTGTGGTGTGTTCCTTAAATCAACTTTAACTAATTAGTAAGGGCTTGGAATTTAGAAAGTGCCGTGTTCCGTCTCTGTCGTCGACTCAACCAGCAATTGTATTCTTTTGGTTCCAACGCTTCTATATACGTGTTGCTGTTATTACTTTTCTCAGCGAATTTTGCTGGGCTAGCTATGATTGAATTATATACGAGTATACAAATCTTATATATACATCTTTCATTGGCAACGTGTTTATTTGGGGTCTGTTGACCTGAGCAACGGTAATTTGTTTATAGAAGTTGGGGCTGCAATGAGTTGCGCAGAAGAATTTTTAGACTTAACAACCCCAACAACTAGGCTTGAAATTATTCGATTTTCCTCTGAATAAATTTATATTTTACCCAAACTTTAAGGCGAGCTGAAAACAAACTAGAATTTCGATGTGGGAACATGTACATATATAATTGGATATTTATCAATAATAATGTCTATATTAAAAAAAAACATAAATAACTAAAGAAAATTGGAAAAATATTATTTTTTGGTTTTATGGTTATACTTTATATTGCGCACCTTTGGCCTATAGTTTAAAAATTCGAAATTAAGAGGAGAGTTTTTCCCTCTTCCCTTTCCTATATTTAAAATAAAACTCCCTATAAAAATCAGTTAAGCGACATTTATTCTTCTTTTAAAAAAGATATGGGACTCGTACTTGAATTAAATCAAATTCCATTGATTTCGTACTTAAATTTGAAATACAAATCAAGACGAAGCTGTAAGCATTCGTTCTGATTTTTAACCTGCCACTATTCAACAATATTAGAGTAATCTTTCAATAATTGTGATCTGACCATAAGTTTTCAAAAAAGAAATGATTGGGTTAGGCGTAAATTTGAAAGTCTTATTATTATTTGTTGTTGGCGAACAGAAAATTTAATTCTAAAGTGGAATATATTAATGCCAAGATATAAGTTAAGTATTTAAAGTCAACTAGTGGGAAAGTTTAGTTGGAATTTGGATTGGAGCTTTAGTTAGATTCTTCAATGCCTTTGCCAATAGTCTTATTATTTCTTTAGTCAATTTGCCAGTTCATATAGTATGTGGGAAGCATACTAAGAAAATTGTGTAGAAATTAAATATGTTGGCAGCTGTACACGATGAGCTCCATTGTTTTCATTTTCGAAAACAGAAAACTGTTTGAAAATTGTTTCACATTTCCAAGTTTGCAGCTGAGAGCGCGACCACTTAATATTTTCATCACAAAATTTCTAATTTCAAAACTTTGGGGTTTCCACAGTCAATTGGTTTTGAAATCTGATGGCTAAAATACTGCTCAGCTGTTTGCTGGCCAGATCGAGAGCATACTTCGAATTTCGAAGAGAGAAATTGGGAGAGAGAGAGAGAGCTGAGATCGTCATTGTCGTTCGCGTCGGCAGCTTTTTCAATATTTTTTCATTTGTAGTATTTTTAGAAAATCTTTTCAACGGGCCGACGAAAAAAATACGCATGCTTTCGTTTTGCGCTTAAAATTTTCCGCAGATCAGTGAATGGAAAATGGGCAAAAATTGTGTTCGGGAAACAATTGGAAAAATTTTAGAAATAGAAGTGCATTAAATTTAGTTGAATCAATCAATCAATATTAACTGAAATGTGCACAATGTCGGTGCTGTGTCCATTGTGTGCGGTCCCCAGTTTTGGGAGCATCGATGCATTGCAGCAGCGTCTGATAAAGGCAGCCAATGGGCCACTCGCCTGTCCCTTTCCACAATGTGCCGAATTATTTTTGGGTCTGGACAAACTAACCATCCATTTGTTTACGCATACCAGTCTTATGATGATGTCAGAGCCACAAGCGACATTGACAAGTTCTCCGACAGCTGCAACAGCAACAGCAACAACAACAACGGCAGCAGCAGCAGCAGCAACAACTGTGAAACGGAAAGGCAAGAAAGCGGCCAAGCATCCAATATTAGCGTCGAAAAGTCAAAGGGACTTGGAGCCAACACTAGGTGGTAATCCGATTGCCCAGATTCCTGCCAGTTGTGACATTTGCGAGTTCAATTTTCGAAACAGCGAGCTTCGGGACATGCACTGCCGCCTGGTGCATGAGAATGTTGTCGAGTGCAACAGCAACAGCATTACAGCGGCAACAACAACAACTTGCCAGGAGCCCTATAAGTGCCATCTCTGCGCCAAGACCTTCAAGATGAAGGGTTCGCTTCGTCTGCATCTGAAGGTGGTTCACATGCTGGGCTTGCCCTACGTCAACGATACACCCAAGCTCAACATATGCGATCGTATACGCCACAAGGAGGCGAATGCGTTGGGCGGCAGCAACGCGCTAGCCAGCGCAACCACCTTAAATGGTGCCACAACTTCCACACAGCCCTATGCATTGAGTGGTGCATTGAGTATGCTGACACAACCACCGGTGCCAACGGCTCTCGGTAGTACCGGGAATGTCACGAACGAAGCAGAGCCCTCCACGGATGCTAATCCCAAGATATGGGAGTGTGATGTGTGTGCCAAGAATTTTACCACTAAGTACTTTCTGAAGAAGCACAAACGCCTGCACACCGGCGAAATGCCCTACACTTGTCAGATTTGCGCACGCACCTTCACCTTCCAGCAGTCCTATCACAAGCATTTGCTCTATCATAGTGAGATCAAGCCGCACGTTTGCGCTATCTGTGGCCGGGCCTTTAAGGAGCTATCTACGCTGCACAACCACGAGCGTATCCACAGCGGGGAAAAGCCCTTCAGGTGCGAGGTGTGCGGTAAGTTTTTCCACAAGCCTTCGAATTAATAGTTAATGAAAAAGAAAACGACAAACTTATCATTAAAACCGCAGCAGAATACGTTATTAATTGTTAAACGATAAAGAAACACGATTTTTGGTTCAATTAACTTTAGTTTTTAGTTAGTGACAAGTAGGAAGGAATTAACGGATTAGCTGTTTAAAAATCTAAACAACATTTTGCACCTCAAACTTCCTAATATGTACAAATGTTTTGAATAGCAAGAAAGATTTTTGATTCAATCGTTTCCAGTTTTAAGTTACTTTTTATTAAAAAACTGATCAAACGATTAAACAAGGTTTTATCTAAAGAAAATATTTTGAAAACCTAAAAAGTTTAATATTTATAGTGACAGGAGATGAAGAACTTAATCATTATCACACCAAACATGAACGATTTTTGATTCAATCGTTTCCAGTTTTAAGTTACTTTTTATTAAAAAACTGATGAAAAGATTAAACAAAGTTTTATCATCATATCATCATCATATGAATCATTAATCATTTACACACCAAACAAAAAAGATTTTTGATTCAATCACTTTTAAAAACTAATCAAAAGATTAAACAAAGTTTTATCTAAAGAAAATATGTTGAAAAGCTAAAAATAGATAATGAAGAGCACGATTAATATATACAATTTCAGAATCATCCTTAAAAAGGCAGATGCCTGTGTTGAGTCGAAATAACTGGTTTCGATGAACTTCCAATTAGAAAGCATTTCCATTTGATATAGATCAAGAACTATATAGTAGTTCTTTAAAATTTTGTACGGCATTAAAGTTGTTTATGTACTTCCACATGTGGTAAGAGAATACATTAATAAGCTAAGCTTTAGTTCTAAATAATATTACTATGTAAATATATTTAGGGAATACTTTTAATGTGCTTGATTATTAAATAATCAAGTTTCGAATTAAAAAGGTTTCTTTTCCTGCTCATCCATTGAGTTTTCTACAATTTAGTTTTGCATTAAATTTATATTTTTCATGAGCCTAGAGAATAGATTACAGGTTTTAAAATTGTAACAAAACATGAAATTGGAAACTAGCTGCAGATCTAGCTTAGCTTTTTTTTGTCAGAATCAACAATTAGTGGTTTGGAGAAGTTTAACAACGATTAGGTGACTAACAATTGCTCTCTATTATAATTGGCAGGAAAGTGCTTTCGACAGCGTGTTTCCTTTCTCGTGCACACACGAATCCATACTGGCGTCATGCCCTACAAGTGTGAGCTGTGCCAGAAGAGCTTTCGCTATAAGGTGTCCCAGCGCACCCACAAATGTGTGCCTGCTGGCAGCGGCGAGGCCCAGTCGCCGGAACAGTTGATTCAAGCATTTCTGGAGTGCAATGCCAGCAACGAGGCGGATGCAGTGCAGCATTCACCGGCAAGCGCGGAAATAGCTGCCATCAATGGCAGTTGTGTGGACGCCGTCGAGCAGAATGAGGCTCTGCTCTCGCAGGCCATCGATGATATTGTTGTGGAGAGCTGTCAGAAGTTGGGTATTGGGGCTCTGGAGCAGCAACAGCATCAGCCGGAGACTAATATCGTTAGCATTTGCAATTACAATGGAAGCGATTCCCCATTGCAGCAACTGGAACGTTTGCGTCTCTATTCGCCACAATTAGTCGCCGCCAGAGAGGAGACGCCAGCTGATGCCAATGGTGTGCCGGCCAGTGAGCTGTTCGGCCGGTTTCTGATGGACTCCACGTAACGGTAATCAGCATATAAGAGCATTCACAGTAGGCATATTAATTATTAATTTTACAAATCAATTAAATAATTGTTGCAATATGTAAAAAATTTCAATACAAATTTATTACAAATTGCGTATTTCCAACAGTTTTAGATCAGAGGAAAAAGTTTGAAATAGTTAAACAAATTTTAATGCTGAGTAAAAAGCTGATTTCTAATCGTTCCCAAGGAACTAAGCTCTTATTCTCATACTCCCCCGATTCATAAGATTCAGCTTTTCTTAAAGTTTTTCTTTCCATCAATGTCGGCTCCGTTTTACTATAAACTTTTTGATTGTACGGTCAAACAGGCAAACTAAATTTAATCGAGAAGAATTGTTCTTTCGCATAAAATTTAACTTCATGACATGCTTGGAAAATTGAACAAATGTGTGCCCCAATTATTTGCCAGTCTGACTATTGCTTAGATTTGTTGGCGATCTGGTTAATAAAGACAAACGTTAATATGCCTACGGTGGATATCGCAATTATTAAAGTTAGCACAATTTGTTATTGTTTTCGTGTACTATTTCTTATGGCGTAAAATATAATAATTACAATAGATGCATTATGTCCAAATCATAGTTTTTTAATCCTCGTCAGAGCCGCTGCCCGAGCTGGAGCCGGAACCGCTGGGAGAGCCACTGCGCGAACGTGATGCAGAGCCAGAACGTGATCCGGAAGCACTGCGGCTGCGACTACGGCTACCACTGGCACTGCGACTACGACTGCCACTAGCACTGCGGCTACGGCTGCGGCTGCCACTTGCGCTGCGACTACGACTGCGTGAGCCAGACTTATGAGAGGCGGCGGGCGTATTGGAGCGCGATCGTGAGCCAGATTTCGAGCGAGTACTGGACTGGCTACGACTACGGCTGCGACTACGACTGGCAGCACTGCCACTTCCGCTGGCACTACGGCTGCGAGAGCGCGATCCACCCGACCGCGTGCGTGATCGTGATTGGCGCTCACGTGCTGTTTGTGCAGCAGCTTGATCAGTTTCACCATCAGCTGCAGGTGTCGTTGAGCCTTCTTTTCCCTCTGCTGCTGTTGAGGGAGCCAACGCTGACTGCTCCTTTTCGCCAGCCGCTTGCTCATCAACGTCCATTTCTTCTTCAACCTCCTCTTCCTCCTCGCCGGGTACTTCAAGTTGACGTTCACGATAACGCTGCATGCGATGCTCCATGGCATCCAAGGGCCGATGTTTGACCACCTAGAATCAAATATGTATGTTAGGAAATACGTTTTCAACAAATGGGAGAATTAGGGCACTCACCAATTTCGTATTGTTGGGTTGCTGGCCCACTTTAACGCGACGCTTGTTGAGGCGCACACGCGTCTCCAGTTCATTGTAGTAGATGCCATCGGGGCGCATGATAAAGAAGTAGTTCTCCTCGTAGCCCTTTGACGCCTTTGTCTTGACATTCCAGTTGTACTCGCGCGCAATTTTATATTCATACTCCTCCTCATCTTTGTACAGCTCACCGGCCACAAAATCGGCACGACGCTTCTCCAGCGTTGTCTCTGTGGGCAGGAAATAAGCAACAAACTGTTCGCCACTCTCGTCCATCACACCACGTATCATGGCCTGCGACATTTCCTCCAGTTGGGCGGGTACATTTTTGCCTTGCGGCGCCGGATCGCTATCGAAAATGACCTGTGCGCATGGATACTTCCAGTTTGTAAAGTCTGGGAAGATTGGAAGAACCTCTACTGGCACCACATTCGGCTTGGAGTAGTGCTTGGTGATTTCGTTTTTGGTATCGCTGAACGTTTTCTCTATTGCCTTGATTTGTGCATCGCGATCCAGATACAGAGTCTCCTCGCGCAGCGATTTTTTGACATTATAGCCCACCTTGGCTTCAATATTCTCCAGATTTTGTGGCTGGAAGCGCGTTTGTTCCGTCGATATGTACTCGGATTTCCGCAACCAGGATACCGTCCTCGAATGTTGTCGTGAACGCACCGAATCTGTCTGGGTAAGTGTTTCCTCCTCTAGCAGCTTCTCATCTGCAGGATCCAGCAAAGTCACTGAGTCAGCTTGGTAGAGTTCGCGATTAATTAAGTCAACCGTAACACCCAAATCGTGCTCGGTCAGCACATCGTACTTAAAATTGCGCTCCAAAGAGGTGGGATTGTATTGCACAAACCGATGGCTGTCGAAGGGATATTGCAGGAATTTCAAGTCGAAGGGTATATCCGGCAGATTGTTGCCGTATTTGACGCGGCAAATGATTTCTGATCTGAGTGCAAAAAATAAACCAAATTGAGTCGCTCACGCGTCGGCCACTTTAAAACACCGCTACTTACTTGCGTTCCGCTTGACGCTGGGGGCGCTTCTCGGCAGCACTGTTAAGCGCCGAATTGTTAATGGTAGGCGGCATCTTATCTTTTAATTAATTAAAAATAAACACACATAAAGTCTCAAAAAATTAAAATTTTGGCAAACTTAAGAAAATGCGATATGTCCACGCTAGAGATGAACTTAGATCATGTATCTGTTACTTTTTCACTGATATCGCAAAGTCACAGGTCAATCGGTAATCAAATATTACCGTGTTCAAATGCAAAACTTAATATAAAAATGCAAAGCATAATATATTACAATTATAAAAAAGTCGTTTTGGCAAGGAAATAAATAATAAATACAATTTGTTCATATTAGTTTAAATTTTAAATCTTTATATGAAGCGCAAATGTATCGATAAGTGGCAGTTGCTATGCATATCAAAAACTGATTGCTATAATATTTCTGTAGCAGAATTGGTTCGGATATAGAACATTTTAAAAATAATTGTTAATGTAAAATTTAATTGTTTCGCTAATTGTTACGAACGAGCAATAGGTATATAGTCTGGGAACTTATTGGCTTTACAGTAGTAAACAAAACAATTCGACACACGCTAGACACTTAAAAGCCGTAAATAAATAGAAATGTTACACTAAATGCTCTCTAGTTGGATCTATAATGTATTTTTTTAACAGTACGCAAAAAATGTTTCAAACGCTCATCAGGATTTTTGTATTGCTGGCACTTTTTGTGTCAATTTTTGGAATACGCTGTGTTCACAAGAGTAGTATCGCAAAAGACCATGAAGCCGAGCATTCTGTTGAAAACCATGATGTATCAGCTAGGACTGCGAATCATGGTAAGTGGGTATAGCTATAGTGTATAGCCATTACATTTACTTTTTAATTCGTTATTCTAATAATCATAGCAAAAGGAAAACGCTGGCGAAAACAACACACTTTTATTCGCAATCCCAACTACATTTGTAAGTGATTTTTATTCAAAAAGCTAGTGTCTGTCACTAAAAAATGTATGACTGCAGCGGCCCAAAAGGCCTTCGATGAACAGGCCGCGAACATGCTGGTGGAAGAATTGCCGCCAGCCCATCCAGGCGCACATGGGGGAAGCACCAATGGTTGTGAAGATTACACAGAGTAATATAAATATTTTGTTTGATTATTATTTACTAATTTCTCTAACGAATTGTACTTAAACGACCTTTATGAGCTGAAAAATTAGTTGCAATGGAAACTTTTCATAACACAAATTAGCACAATTAACCGATTTCACATTTTAGCAGGTCATATGAAAGGTAAATATAATTTGTACTTTAGTTTCCCAGTCGCTAAGTACTAAACAAAATGCTCATTCAAATCAACATTTCAATTGGCCTTTTTACAAATATTGCACATATAGCAAATTTCATAAGTAAATACAAATCAGCAATTTGATTGAATTAGCGTTAAAGTTAAAAAGATCAAAACAACGACATGAACATGAAAAATATACCTATTGTTCAATATTTGTCACCTGTTCCACGTATTGCTGATCGATGCTACTGTGAAAAAGAGAGCAAAAAACGTTAAGTTCAATAACAAGGTTAAGTTTACGATACCAGAGACATTCTACATGTATATAATATATATACTAGATATCAATATGAAAGCTGTGTGGCATTATTGTATCATACCAATATGAGTTCATCAAATAATCGTCACAACTAATTAGCTTAAATTAGTTGGCGTGAGCATTTGTTTGGCAACTGATCGAAATGTTTTCGCTCACTTATCACAAAAAAGGAATAAGCCAAATAAAAGTAAATATAAATGGAAATTAGCAGAGAATATGTCATAAGGAAAATAGATAAAGAGAAGATAAATAAGAAGAAAGAAAAGATTAAAAACAGAGGCTTTTCGAATTTCTGTTGAAATTAATTGCACCAAAGATACAATACTACTCATACCATGATTTAAAAGTTTTTAAAGTCAATATACAACTATATTAAAAAAAAAAACATTTAATTTAAATATAAATCTTGAATTTGTTTTAATTAAATTAAATAAATAATTTCTTGGAAATATTTTTGCATTTATTATTAATTTGAAATTTTATGTATACATACATTTTATGTACAATACATACACGTATGTGTATAAAAAACCATTTGCGAATTCTTGAAGTCAATGTACGTTTCATATTATAAAATAAATAAAAATTGCCATATTGTTAGCATTTAAATTAAATAAATGAAAATGTATTTGTTCTAATAAATAATGTTTATGTTCATGAAATGTACAAGAGTATATTAGGCTTGTTTTTATTTAAATATGTATTTTTTATATACATATTAAGCTTTTTAATACTGATCAAATGTTAAATCTGAACTTAATGAGTCGTGACATACATTCTAATTGAATATTTGCAATCAGTCCGTGCAAACAAAAGTTATTTTTTCTCCATTTTTATTCGCCTGAAACGAGTTTAACAATAATCAATAAATGTTAATTAATAATCATATGATATTGTGGTCTCATTTTCTTAAAAATGTATCAAAGGAGAAATTTGTGCTTAAGTTACCGAAATTTGAAAACCCTTCTAACATATTCTCACATTAGAAGTCAAAAATCTTAAAATTAGGCAAGAGTGCTTTTATTATACAAGTAGAACTTTTAATTTGTGTAGAATTACAAACCACTATTTATTATTTAACTTTTTTTTACTACACCAAAACAAACAATTGAATAATATATTTATAAAAAACAATTGCAATAACATTTTTCCTGAAAAGAATTGATTATTTTTATTATTTCATCTGATACATACAAATACAAATTTAGCGTCCGAAATAGAAAAGTAAAATCGAAACGGAGAAGCAGTCTGTGTAGAACCTATTTATCATTCACCTACGTTACAAAAAAAAAATACTATGTGCAATGTGTTGTCTTTTTTTTATGACAATTTTTTAATTCTTTTGCATTTGGTTATGGTTCACATTCGCCATCAACAAGAGACATAGCACAATACTTTTTATCATAAATAAACAAGTTCTTGATACAAAAACCAATTTAAAATTATTTCGTTCTATGATAGCTATACGACACAATGATCTGAATGGTAGGTCCCATATTATCGGTGCACGTTAAAAGCTGCCTCGACAGACGTACCAAAAATAATATGTATGCCCTTAGACTTGTCAGTGAAGAGTATAAAAACTTTAAATGGAGCGTGGCTGTGGCTGAAACTAATATTATTAGCTTGCAAAAAAAGCGAAACCAAACTTATTTAATACATTCTCAGTCCATGCAAAAAATAATAATTCATTTACAGATCAACCAACTTAAAGGTGTCCGAAATTTAGGCAAATTTAAGGATACGCTGAAGGCCGTCGATTAAATTAACCAATAAACAAATCTTCAGACAATTTAATAAATATGTTAAAAATCGTTTCGCCCATCAAGTAAATAAGTTAGCATAACTTAACAAAATCGCGTTAAGCCCCATCCTCGGGCATCTGCAAATTGGCAGTGCATGCACGGCACAGCAACAACAAAAACAACAACAACAATAAAAGTTTCCATGCACGTTCAGAACAATGTCCCATCATCGGCTGTTATCGGCAATCGTCGGCTCAGTCGTCGTTGCTGTCGTCATCGAAGTGTCGCTTTTTGTGCTTAGCTGGGATCTCTTAATGCTTGACACTCGGCGAGTGGCGCGCGTTGTTTCAGTTTCAAAAACGTTTTTCATTTCGCAACAAGCGCTAAATTCTTTGAGCAAATAAAGCGCGCTTTAGTCGCGGTCGCAATTCTTTTTTAATTCAGTGCTGTTTGCTTAATATATTTATATCTTTTTCTTTTGATCGCGCCAGATCGCGATTGCGTGCGTGTGTGTCTGTGTGTGTTGGTGTGTTCGTGTATGTGTGTGGAAACTACTAGAGTTTTATTTTTCGGCACGTTAAGTGAAGTGTGAAGAAAACAACTGGCCTGGCATTGCGTTCAGTATCCGTTTTATGTTCATAGCGAGCGGCAGCAGCGCGAGGATCAACAAAATATTTAATTTTACAAATTTATAGCCAGCTAGTAATATTCGATTTTGCTGAGAAAGAGTGTACGTGTGCCTAAAAAGGATACATGGGCTGTTTGCCTTTAGTTACCTATTTAACGCATTTTTTACGTCCTGGCTGTGTTTGAGAGAACCGAAAAGATGATACCAAGAATAGCGATTCGTTCCTGACTTGGAATAACAAAAACATTACCACAATTTCATTGAAAGGTGAGCTAAATAATTATAATAATTGCATTTTCCAAAAATTTAAGGTAAATATCGCTTGAAGCAGTTTTCTGCTTTAATTATTACAACTTTTCGACCAGTACTCTAGATGGATGTTTATAATTTAATTCCGAATGTGAAGAAATCTGCTTATTATGTATGATATACAACTTATGTAAGAAAAATGAAGCACAAAAAGCTTACAACGCTTATGTATGTAGTAGTTGGTGATTTTTGAGGTCCCTTTAAATTAAAATTTCTTTATTTATTCTTTACCACAAATTAGCAAACAGTATAATTTTATAACCTCATTTAAATAGCTTAATTCTTTTCCACGCCTCAATTGTGAGATTATTTTTATTCAAAGCCACTTTAATTTCAAAAACGATCTTAATAATATTTTAATGTATGTGTACTTATGTATTTTGTATAAAAATAATTTCATTTATTACACAATTAGTTAAAAATAAATATTAGCTAATAATATTAGCTAAAATTGTTTAAGATTTCGCGCTATATGCCTCTGTACTATGTACGTACTGCTGGTCAACAATAGGTTTTGCGGTTTATTGCAATTGTAAATAATAAAGTCCGAGCAAACTGTCATTTGGTAATCATCCCATTTCAACAGATAATAACTACTACTGCGCTAGTTAATTAACAATTCGAGCGTTGTGGGAAATATCCCATTATGCCATTCCGAAAAAAGTGCTGACAGGGCTCTTGTTGCTGTTGTTGTTGTGAATGGAATTGTGGTCGCGCGATTTACACACGACTTTTCGCAATAGAACGCAAAACCAATAAATTATGCAGAAGTTAATTGAGATGAGCAGGAAAATAAAGTTCTCGATAGATGTTTTTATATACTCTTTAGTAAAATATAACCTAGTCGGGGTAATACTTAGATAGATGTGTCATAATTTTATAGGAGCTTTGACGAAAAATAATGAGCTCCTTTCTTGCTCCACTTTTTGTTTTAAAAATATCTAGTATGTTGTTGGATTTGTTGCTGCAATTATCTGCTATTTACTTTCTATTAGGTATTTGTTTCTATAACCTGTACATGGAAGGTAGTCTGGGTCGTGTTAGTCTGACTCTTGAATACCCTGTACTCACCTTTTCCCCTCTGCAGGCATTCAGATAGCGTATACTTTGTTGGGCCAACCTTTCCTACGGCAGCTCCATAAATCGATTGCACGTATTTGTTGGCTTAATATAAATATATTATTACAATTTACTTTACATATTTTAAAGGCTACAATTGCCCTAAAAATATAATTTAAGACAGTGATGGCTACTTTTGAAAAAGTTCCTAAAGTTCCAAGTTTTATTATTAGTATTTTATTATAAAAAATATTTTCTGTCCGATTTTAGTGCCAAAAGCAATTGCAAGCCAAGTGAACTATCAAAATTGGGATACCATATAAAAAGCGTAATTATGATTATATGGCTGTCTGTAATTTGTGTATGTGTTGTAATTTGTAATTCGTGTAGAAGAAGTGTTTGCGGTTTTTCCAATACATTTGCATATGCGGTGAACAAGTTTTTCATTAGCCCCATATTCATACCGATTATGGCACTTATGAATCAGTTGGCTCCGTTTTAATATAAACTTGCATTTAAGCAGAAGCAGGCCAGCGTTACGAGGGGCTTGTCGTGTAGGCCAAATCTTAATCACATCATATTCTTACACACTTGGATGACGGAAGTCGCATTAAAGCGGTGACTTTTGGCTAAATTTGGCACTTATCACAAAATATATGAGTATAGCTTTCAATTTATAAGGCAATATTTTTACACACTCCTTGGCTGTAAAAAAGGCACAGCCCTAAAGACAATTAGAATTCTAAGAATAAAACGCAGCACACATTTAATGCAAAAAGTTCCCCCTTTAAGCAAACAATAAGCACGTGACTTGTTCAGCGTTTTTCCATAAACCTTTTTATAAATCAGTTAAAGTATTATATAGCAGTAACAAGCGTGCAATAAGAACGAGAAGCGAAGGCAACAACAGCAATAAAAACGTCATCCAATATGTTTTACCAACAGAGTTCTGAGTCACAATTGTTGCCGTCGCTTATACATACTATATAAGTATATGTGGGTTGAAAAAACTGGAACCAGAAGCCACGTGTGGCATTTGTTAATACACTGACTTAATTAATTGCAAAGCACACATTGCAGCATTGGGAAAATATGAAATGCATAAATTAAAGGTGAATGCGATATTATGAGAGCTTTGTGAAAACTTTGGCATATTTCAGATGCGTTTTTATGGCTGCCTAATCATATTTGAATAATGAATATACACGAATGTGCATACATAATTATGCATTATTTTGACTGAATTTAATTAAATTTTAAATATATTTTTTTCTGCTAGTTAAACAAATTGAATTGAATGATAGTTCAATTAGTACTAAACATTAATTATGGCACTTTTTTAAAGTTCAAGTTCATTAAGAAACACTTTGAATTGAATGTTTTGTAGTCTTTAGAAATAGTCTCTTTGATATGTTAACCTTAAACTTTATAAATTATTTAATAATTATTTAAATTCTCTTTTGATGTATTATTGTGTTTTTATCACAACAGTCTATTTGTGTTGTCAGCCTGTGTTTCTATAGATAAGTAGACAAAGCAATATACTACTACATGAATTTCTATGCTTTAAACAAACTTAGTTCCATTTGTTGTTGCGTGTTATTGCTGTGTGACTGTGCGAATCGTAATTGGATCTATTGCAGGTATATAGCTTTATCTACATAATGCTAACAATTACTTTAATGAAAATGAAAATAATTAAATAAAATTAGAAATAAATAGGCACGTGATATATATTTCTCATGTGTGTATTAAACAGTTGTTTAGTTTAAAATTTGACACCTTGCAAATTATAAACAAATGATCGTACAACAACAAGGCCTACAACTACTTGTTGGACAACACGTTGACATTTGAGTTGCGTGCGAATATGTTAAAATTTAAAACAAATAAACAGCAATCGCACACACACACATATAAACCAATTTTTATGCGAAGCAAGTAACCGAAAAGCGCAAAAAAGCTAAAGACAAAAGATAAAACAAATAAACTGTCAAAACGAAAGCAACATTGAAAACACTTAAGCAAACAGACCCAGCGACGATGCGAAACAAAATGAAATTGGCAGACATGGCGTATGCGTATTATGTGCTGTTTTACTTTTTTTTTTGCTGCCTTTTGGCACTGAACAACAACATCGTCTATCCATTGATTATAAACGAGCACAGTTGGCAGCCGACTACAAGAAATCAGACTACTATATTAATACTCTTAGCCTACACTAGTGCAAGCAAGTAAACGTACACTGATAGCCAAATGAGACTAGTTTGCAAATCTTATAATCAACGGAATGCTCGCTAATACTTGTATATATGTATTTAAAAGCATAGAGCATATAAGATATTTTCTTTTATAAACAATTGATAAATATATAAAACTAGACTTTGGAGTTCTAGTCTTTGAAATACAACGAAAGGCAAATCGTTCTACTTTAGAGTAAGCTTTCTTTATAAAAATAAAATATACTTTAAGCAAAAATGAGGAAATTATTTTTAAAAACCAGCAAGATTTTCTGTAAATTTGAAATCAGGGTTTCTTAACAATAGAATACGGCTCTAAATTTATGGGCTTACTAGGTTAAGGGCAATTACATGGACAGCTTTTTTCTCGATAAAAAAATGATATAATAGTTGAACAAAAGTAAATGTAAATATAATGTATAACGTAATGGTTTTCCAACTAAAACCAAATACGCATCTGTCCATGATCAATAAAGGATCGTAATATAATTACGTACAATATATTATAAGTGCTAATACAATAATTATAAGTGAAGTAAAGAAATTGTTAGGAACAAACCATAACAGCTTGTCAAAGTTCTTATGCCTGCTAATGTTTTTATAACAAGAGTGCGATTGCACAAATGAGAGAGGTGCAGTTGTTGTTATTGCTTCTATTCCTGTTGATCAACTTGAACTTGAATCCGCTCAATGTAGTTTGTTGCCTGCAGACCCAAAGATCTTTATCAATGCCAAACATTGCGCTCTTCTTGTTGGACACGCTTATAAATAGTCGATGCTTTAAAACCTTAACATTATGCTCTTCCTGTATTTGCATGTGTGTGAGTGTGTGTGTGTGTGTGTGTGTGTCTGTGCGTGCGAGTGTGTGTGTGTGGGTGGGAAGCGGAAATTGGGTTCACTTATGTGCCCATATACCGCCCTTGCTCAGTGTGCTACAAATCGTTGGCCAGATTGTTGACGCTCGAAAATATATTCACTTCTTTTCTAATTAAAAATGAAAAAATTAAACAAAGAAAAAATTTTCGTATTTTTGAGTGAAGTGTTCAAATATTCACAAACATTTGTGGCTTGGCAACAATAAATACAGTTTGCCTGAAATATGAAAATTGTGCCTGATTAATATTAATGTGATTCTGCTTTAGTTAAGTGCACATTTTTCATTCACTTTCGTGATTATATAAAGTGCATAAAAAGAAGAAAAATGCTGTGAGAAAAAATTACACAACGGTCGCAACTTTAAAACAGTTTCCTAAGCTTATTTCGCAAAAAAAAAAAAATCAAGTGTATTTAATTAAATGCCACAAATATGAGTTTTATACACCCCGATGCTAGTCTAATGGGAACAAGCCAGTTGGAGTCCGAGGAGCCGACATTAAAAGCGTCGTCGGCTCCAACACGTGCGAATAGTCCCCAACCCGATAAGGTGGAAATAAAAATAGTGCTGCTAAAAGTACAGGTGATGTGAATTAAATATTTTGAGAAAAATATTATTTAAATGGTCCTTTATATCTTTAACAAACTCAATTAGTTGCTAATGGCCATCAGAGGTTGTGAAAATAGAATTCAAGCTTTTGCTTTTCTTTCAATATTTTACTCTTCATTTACATTTGTTGTATAGAACTATTTTGATAATTTAATTGTTATTAAGTTAACAAATTGGGGTAGAAAAAACCAGCTAAGCTTCTATCTATGTCTTGAGCCAGGGCTGAATACACTGCTCTCGATATGTCTTAATCGATACTCCTTAATTGCTATTTATCGAACTATTTTCAAACGCCTTATTGAAATCTCTGTACTTTTTATTTTAAATTAATACAAAATCTATGTATTTAAGCAACTACGAACAAATGCTTCATCGCTAAAATAAAAGCCTGAGATATTGGCGTTTGAATATATAGTATGAGTGATATTAATTTGATGTTGAACCATTTTTGGAGAGGCTGGTTCGATCGCGTCCTTTCTGAAACTTGCGAGCCTAAAGAAACACACAACCAGAGCTTCACTTTGTACTACCTGTGTAATACGTTATTTCCTCTTCGAATTTCAAAAAATTAGAGAAATTATACACATGATGCGAATGAAGAAAATTTCAAGTAAATATATATCGACATAAAACGAATCAGAATAAGAATGCACTTAATCATATATCTTTAGAGTTAAGGAACCAAACACCTATTTTGGCATATGATCAATGTCTTTTTTAAAACGGTTGTTTCTGGAACCAATCTACCGTGCAAAAACAGAATTAGGTGTATGTTTTACGAGTGTGTTTGTGTGAATGCTTACTGTGGGCAATTTATGTTATGTTATGTTGCACCTTGTTGCAATGCAGAACCAACTAGCTCTTAGTTTAAGAGAGGAACACGCGCGCTTCTTCGCTGGGCCAGCAACTGCAGTGATCAGGTGCCATTGTTGTTGGGTTGCTTGCTTGTTGAACTTATTGTTAGGCTGGTAATGTCTGTTGAATTCCTCTGTCGTCGCTTGCATATACATATGCCTAATACAAGTGGCAGCATATTATTCGCCTTTGCATCTGTTGTGAGATTTTAAATCATCACTACCGGACCGTGTCTTTTTTATGCGATTTGGGAACCATTTTTCTAGCTAATTGTCTATTGCTGGCTGCATGACAAGATGAAGGAAATATCAGTTGAACATCATTCTACAAGTATTAATGACTGAACTATCTCACATTTAAAGATTTCTAGATTGCTTAGGTTTCCTCGATACACGCATGTAATATTACAATTATTACGCATACGGCACCAAAACACACAAAACTCAACTTATAATAAGTTGTTGCGGCCACGAACTTGTTAATCAAATTACAACAGGTACGAGTACATCCCAATAAAGGAAATAAAAACACGCGCTTCCCAAGAAAAATAAAAACAAAGCTTCAAACTCATTAAAGTTGGTAACAATTTGTGTTCTTCTTTGTTTTGTGTGCTGTGCAAAAGTTTCTGTGCCTGCCCACGCGGCGTATGCATAATGAAGACAACAAAAGATATAAAAAGTTAACAGGAACAATAAGTTGGGAGGTACGCGAGCGTGCCAGTCGCAAATATTGCGCTCGCATCTACTTACAAGAGCTCTACACGTTTGACATGGCTCGCCAAAAGTTGCTGATCTAAAATTTATTAGCTCTGTTCGAACAGATGACAGATATTTGAAGGGCGGGGAAGAGGGGGGCGTGTTAGTGATTGCTGCGCTGCTTGTCGAATTAGATTTGTGAATAAACGAATTAACGGCCAAAATAAACAAACAGAGCAGCGAATACATGGCAGCTACTCGTACAAAAGCAACAACACCAAGTATTACGGGTAGAGTGAGAAAACTTGCGCATAATTCTAATAACATTTCAATAAATGTTTTGTTGTTTTTTATACGCTGGGAAATTGAAAGCGTGCTGATTGCAAGGTCGCTATCTGGCACGTGTTGTACACAAAGAGCTGGGCTTCAATTTAATTATTTATTCCCACCCCAAGTGCTTCAGTGAATGATACGAATATATAGCACAATATAAATATACGTTTGTTTTTAATTATTTGCATTGATAGTGAAAGAAACTGGATTAAGCCTGGCTAATAGTTTACATCATGTAATTAGATTTACTTAATTCCTTCCATTTAAAAACTCAATCAAACTTAAAGGATTGAAGAATAAAGTATATTGAAAGCCAAATAATAATTTCTGAAATCGATATATGCCACAAAAAACTAGTCTTTGTTCAAATTCATGCTAAGATTCGATCTGGTCAGTTCGTATGTTTAAACACATACATATATTTTTAAAGTTTATTCGTATGTTTTAGGCCAGCTCTGAGTTCATAGCTGTTTTTACGGCTTCAGAGCAGCTTTGAATGTAAATAAATTTTATATTTATATTTCGTTCCTTTATCGAAAGAAAAACTTAAAAACAAAGTAAATAAATTGTTATTTTTCTATTTATTTTTTAAGCTTCCTAGTTGAAAACTATTTTTTCTAAATATACAAATTTAATTTAAATTTATCTTAATAAACCCAATATTTAGTATATATTATATTATTCTGATGCCTATTTTGTACTTAAAGTACTCTTCAATATTTTTTAGTATCCCTCTAAAATAATTGCTAATTTAAAATACACAATACACTGCTTATTAACATTATTTTCTGTGTATAAGTTTACAAATACAATTTCAAATCAGACATAGCCCAATTTTTCGGGCAATTAAGCAGATGGCGATAAATCAAAGGGAAACCAAAGAATGGCTAATTCATTGAGGCAATAATAGAAACAATTTGTCAATATTACTTCATTGATAATAATGAGCAAACACAAATAGAAATGTGCAACATTAAATAAGCAATGAGATAGAAAAGAGGAGGTGGTGCTGGTGGGGGAAACTGTTACCAATTACAAGCTGACAAAAAAAAAAATCAACACGCACGGCATTAACCTTCAAACTTCGAGCCGAAGTTTTGGCGATATCGGCAAAAGTTCTTCGGCTGCAATCAGCTGTTGTGCGTAAAAGCAAAAGCTTTTGGCTTGAAGTTGGGTGGGAGCGAGTCCTTTTCCCGGACTGAACTGAAAGGAAAGTGAAAACCGAACACGTGACTGTGGCATGCAAAAAAAAACTTTTGCAAACGCCATGTGAATGAAATGAAGTTGAAGTGTGCGCATCATACAAATATACTAGTGTCTATGTGTATGCGTATGTGTGTGTCTGTGTGTATGTACAAGTATATGTGGAAAAGCTTTCGCTGGCCGTTCGGAAAATGTGCTGCAAGGAATAACGAAGTTGGGTCGCAGCTCTGCGTCTGTTTCTGGTTGGCTTCTCAAGCTTTCGTCCGCATTTTAGGAAATCAGTTGCGCGTTGGGCGAACGCGAGCACAGGAGGCGAAGAAAAGAAGCGGCAGTGGTTCGTAAACGCGTCGCATCTGGCCCCAACCCATCTCAAAAAACAAAACAAAAAACTAAACACCACCCACAATTAAACGTTGTCGCTGAAAAAAAATGTGCGCGTTTATTGTTCTTACCCATGTGTGTGTGTGTGTGTAAATGAAATGCAATTTTCATTTAGAAAAAGCAACAGTTTACAATAGTTTGTCACATTTCAGTTACAACTTTGCTTTCGTTGCAAACGGTCGCGCCTTTTCTTTCATTCTATAAAAAGTGAAATTTCCAAATGAAATTTCACGTAAAAAATTATAAAAATATTTGAAAGTTGAATGAAAATGAGTGCGGAATATGCTAAGGCTTGAGAAAGCAACAACATTGGCCGTTTGAAACAGGAATTGTTATTAAAAACAAGCCAACGTCGCGTATACTTAATATATAAATTGCCTCATTGTGTATACGCCGCATTGTCTGAAGAGAAACATTCAGGAATGATTAAATTTGCACTCAAATTTCACATTAATTAAAAATAAAATCGGACGAGCACATTTATTTTTGCATTAAAGTAATGGGAAAATGTATTTTTTCATTAACTTTGTTTTATATATTAATTATATATATTAAAATTATAATTAAAAGTGCAAAAATATAAAAAGAAATGCAACATATTTGATGTTAAATGATTATTAAAGGAGAATTATCTTAATAGAATTTTGAATATAAATTGAAATTTTTTAAATGTTTTAAATAAAACTGTCGTTTTAAAATTTCACCATCTGAAAAATACTTTTCTTTCAAATAACAACAAAATAATAAAAATATTAATGTTTGAAAAATAATAAAAATTATAAATTTATTTCAATTACACAAAATTAAAAGAAGTGGGTTTGTTTTTATCGATCCGTTGCTAAGAAATATGATTATTAAAGTTAATCGAAAATCTCTTCAAAGCATTCCAAATCTAACAGTATCGGCAAAATATTAACAAAAAGTGTTTGGTAAAAATTTGTCACAATTTTCCTCAACTACCAACACATTGGCTTAAATATTTAATGTAAAATACTCACAGATATAGAGGCTAAAAAATAAAATCGCATAACGCGCAGGCGGCTAGCAATAAATTCGAAATCAAAAGCGCATAAATTCTTAATCGCCAACCGAAAAGTGTCAGCTGCGTCCGCCACCTTTGTGCGTGCGTGTGTGTGTGTGTGTGTGTGTGTTTGCTCATTTGCGTGTGCTAAGTGCCATCGTTTGTCTTAATGCGGCTAATATAATTGGCTATTGGTGTGATCTCAGACAGCCGGTTGCAAAACGTCACGCGTTTCCTTTTCCGTTTCCGGTTCATTATGCTCGCGGATAGCGGCGGTGGCAGTAATAATAGCAATGTTGGCATTGGTCATGGCTTAGGCAACGCGGGCAACATTGGCAGCAGTACCAACAACAGCAACAACAATAATAACAACAACAGCGGTAGCGGCTCCTCCAGCGGTATTGGCAGCAGCGAAAAGTTGGTCACATTATTGGCACGAGCCCACACTAAAAAGGGGGGTAAAGAGAACCTCGGCACACAAAATG